ATCTTGTTCTGCTCAAAACAAACAAATCAATCATGCAAATTAAATTATGCCAGCAAAAGAAATTACTGTAGAAAACACAATGAAAATGCCTGCATTATTTGAAAATCAACTTCAAATGACACGAGCTATAGTAAATATGGGCTTAAAAAAATCAGATTAGGCCCTAAAACAGTGATTTATTGAATCATATATTAGTATCTGGTAAGATTTGTAGTAGAACCAAACCCTTAATCTACTATCACTTCAGCTTTTCCACCACTTGAATTTATTTAACGTCATTAATTGGCTTTTAGACACTGTTTATTACAATATTCCTTCTTCTATTATTTTTCCCATTTCTTTTATGTTACAAATAATTATCAATCCTAGCAATTGACCCTCCATTCACAAATATTTAGTTTGGGTTACATATATCTCATACAAATTAGATATATATATATATATATATATATGTATGTGTAAAACTCTAAAATTAAGTTAATGTTTTTTAATTATGATATTTTTTAATGACAAGCTCATGATTATTTTTTTTCTTTTGGTGGACCCAGGGTAACACTAGTTTCTTACATTTGCCATCTCAGCAGAAGAGGGAATAATTTGACTTTCAGCCCAGGAAGGATTCAAATCCTTCTGAGGTATCCCAGGTCCAGCTATGCTTTCCTTCTAAATCTCTATTTGATAGACAAGAAAACAAGACCATATTTAATGTTGTCTGATAACGCTCGCTTAATAGAAATCATTCTAGTTGCCCTGAAGACAACAAAGGTTCCCACCATTCCCATGTCCTACACTAGTGAATTTATGAAGAAAAAGGGTATGGAAGGTCAACTCCTAATCTATGTGTATGAACGCGGTCAATCTAAAACATAGATTATATATAGTCCTTCATTCAATTTTATCTTACTTATGTCGGACACGCGTTAAAAATATATCTAAGATAATAAAAATAAAAATATTAATATAACTCTTTCAAAGTAAATGAAAAACGATAAATAACTGCATATATTTATACACTTCCAAAAACGATAATTTAAAAAGATTTAAAAAATTTTCTAATCTTACCCTTGATCGATCACGTATATATCTAATCTAACACACATGATATATGTACTTGTACATAGATCCAAGTGACAGAAATATGGATATAGACATGGATAGTGATTATTTTCCTTGCGTTGGCTATGGACATGGATATAAATATGGATTGAACTTGTAGTTTTTCCCTTGGAAAGGTGAGGGAGAATCTAACCCCAACTGGACCAAAAGTTAAAGGTGAGGACATATAGCAATACCAAAACACTACTGTACAAAAGCCTTATTAGAAAAGACCCTCTACAAATATAAATCGAAACAAAAACAAGTAGATATTAGAGATAAACATGCATCATAATAATGGTTAAAACAAATCGACTTGGCCTGATGTGTAAAAGTTAAAAAGGTGGAAAGGGCCCTTCACCTGCTGTGCCGTGGTCTCCTTTGTTGAAAAAGGAGAGTAGAAGCCAGCCAAGCAGTGGGGCTAGATAAGGGTAAAATGAGAAGCCTATGAAGATGGTGATGGGTTGTTATTGAAGGAAAAGGAGGAATGTAAGACACTACTGTTGTGGCCTTGAAATGAAAACTTGGAAGTATTATTTATAGGGGAAATTTGTTGTGTGTGTCACAAAAGTTAAAAAGATGGTTAAATCATTGGTTTCGGATTCTCTTGAAACGTGTGAGAGTGCTGTTAATGTTATGTACATTTATGGATAAATGTAAAATTATACCCTTCAATATTAAGTAACAGCCAATTTTTATTTCTAACCCTAAAAAATAAACCTGTCCTCCAGCAAAATAATTGTCTTAATCTAATTAATTTTACTTTTCCCGAGAAAAAACTAAGAAAATCAAGAATCATGTCGTATATAGAAATTAAAACTTCCGGCCTTATATTTCTATATAGAATAGTCAAATGTTCCCAGTAAATTGACTTTCATTGTTTTTTCCAAATATATAGAATGCAATAACCGTATGATCAATTCAGTCCACAAACGTAGGTCTTACCACCGTTTCTATCAAGCTAATCTGAGGTACTTCCACTTATGTCATGGACAATCACAATTAGGATTTTATTCTATTTTTTTATACAAAATATGACATGTTTACACTAATCTCTGGGCAATAATTTATTCTTATACACTATATATATATATGTACACCATGTTAAGCATTGTAAAAAGGTCAGTTTCGATGAGGTGATGAGTTGTGAAAAGTTTGACTTTACCTGCATGTAAACTTTTTGATGCAGTTAAAGCTAGAGAATTACTGCATGCAGAGGTTGGATTTTAAATGATTGAGAGGAGACGCAAATTTAGAACAAATTCAAGGTCAGGTTAGGCTCATGAACACTGCAGTGGATTCTGTTGCGAAACTGAAGTCTCTTCTCTGGCTTTGCCACGCTATTCTTCCCCTGATTGGCTCACTATTTATTATCCCACTCATGCAAAATGCTTCTTGCTTTGTCAGACAATATGAGAACTTACCAAACAGGCAAAGACCATAAAAGGCAGGTCCATGCATGGTATTAATTTTCTGAGCATGAAATCTCATCTCTTAAAACCATGGGCCATTAGAAAGAGTTAAACCATGAAAGACAAAACCACCAGACAAACATACAAGTACCATCTACATTTTAATAGAAAATTTAATTAAATCAACTTATTTATTTCTACATTTTTACAACACCAAAATAAAAATTCATTTAAAAATCAAGCATAAGTAGTATAATTTATTTATTTTCATATGATTTAATCATGGACTGACCCCTTGACCACCCTCTATTAGGTTCTTAAGCCTTGTACATTAGAAGGGAAGATTGCAGGTAGCTGCTAATCATCTTTTTTGCTAGAAGCAATCTGGAAGGAAGATTCTCCCAAAATCTAATGTAATCTAACCAGATTTGGCTTCCCTGTTTGAACATTTGAGAACACGTGCTGTTGAAAAGCAATAACCTTGTCTTATTTTTTGCAGGAAAGACAAGGGATCGACGTCACTTGAATTCTTTTAAGTTCATAAGCACAGCTAAAGTTTGGATATACAGTATTTGTGGTTTGATAAATCAGAAATATAGTTTTATTCTTACGGAAATGACTCACTAATTAAAATTTAAAATTTTAATTTACAGATTTTAAATTGAAATTTTTAGATCAAAGAAGGTATGTTACTTAATAAAATTAACTCGATATTTATCATCGAAATACTTAATTGAGAAACGGAGCCCTTTAGGTTTTCGACATTGGTACCTAGACTGTTGAGTTTATCTTTTGAAGTTGATGAAGAGATAGTTACTATCTTGGTTGAGTTAGAGCGTGAAGATTATGAAGGATAAAGCAGCCTATCCTTCGAAATCTTTTACCATGGAGCTCTATTATGTTAAAAATATTTGAGAAGAAACAAGAAATTTTGAAAAAAAAAAAAGAGTATAACTTTAAAGACGTGAATTAATATTTTTTTAAAGTATTTTCTCAATCTTCAAGATATTAACACACTAATCAGAATTGTGAAAACAGCAATAAGCCAACGTATATGTCTTCCAATGAAAAAAAAAAAGATTTGTTTTCTTTTATAATATAACTCCTCAAATTGTATGAAAGGATTTATTTATTTTTATAATATAACTCTTCCAATAGTTGTTTCCTTTCATGATATAATTTCAAACCCTGCTCTTTTAGTTAGAGGATTATACATCAACTAATGAGTCAAATGTTCAAGTATAATACAATTATTAAAAAGTCATACTTTAATAAAGTAATTATTTGTAACTCTTTAATCACAACTTTTTATTAATAAATCCGACATTAATCTTTGTTGAAAATTATAATCTTTGTATTGTTTAAGGTCATTTTGATTAGTTTCAGTTGAGTTTATATTATTTAAAGTTGTTTAATTTATTTAGTTTTTTTTTAAAAAAAAAACTAACATAAATATTTATTTCACTAGATATAAAGATACCAAAACAAGTCCCTTCTAGAGAAAAAAAAAACTTAAGAGTAGCCAATACAACTCCCAATGATTAGAAAGAATAAAAACAAGACAACAAATTTAGGTATCGTTACCTGTTACTCGTTATCTGTTACTCGTTATCTGTTATTCGTTTATCAAATTCTATGTATTTACTTTCTCAATCATTAATAAGGTATTTGCATATCGTTATTCGTTATCCGTTACTCATGACCGTTACCCTGTTTATTAGATTCTTTGTATTTATTTTTTCTATCATTAATAATAAATTCATCTTATCTTTCAAAAAATTTAACTTGATATGTTTCACGAGTATAAAAGAAAATCACAATATGTTTTCAAGTGAGACAAACTATACCTAGTAGTCGAGAGGGACCAATTACAATCAACTAGGAGAGAAATTAAATACAAAATTGCAAACGAACCTTTCTCGTGAAATTGTGTTAGTAATCAATATAAAAAAATCAATTTGGCTTAACTTAGTTTTTTTTTTTTTCTTTCGTATATGAAACATCACTAGTAAACCAAAACGAATGATGAATAAAATGTTAAGATGTAGGTAAACTTTGGGATAAAGGTATATATTTGGTGGGATGCCTTAAACCAGAATTAAAAAATTATAAAAAAAATTGCTCAAACTCACATGGGGGAAAAAATTTTATGATACTTAAACGTTCCAAAATTAATTTATAGTTAAACAAAATATTATTAGTATTATTATTCTTATTATAGTGGAAGTAATATATGGAGCTGAATTGGGCTAAGAATGGAATAATAAATCACTGCTCAAGCCTGGCCCAAATAAGCATGGGTGGGCAACTTGTACCCCAACCCATGGGTCAAAGGAACAAAGCTACCATCGAAGGATAGCAATTATCCAAATTTACCTCAGTTATAAAGACCAAAAAGATAGCAAAATATGCAATTATTATTTTTTAATTATCTAGAAAGGCAATATGCAGAATAAATTTTTTTAAAGATGAAAATGACTGTGCAATGGGACATTTGCATTACAAAGCATGCATCTATGTGGAGGAAGCTTGGCCCAGGTTTAGAGTATTACAACAGGAATTGAGAATTGAGGTGCAGTTGTTTTAGCTCATCGAGGGCATGGAGCCAAGGGTTTGCGTCATTGCCCATTGAGTTGTGGAACTCTGTTCTCATAATTTGACCCTCCATTTTCTGCTGCCTGACCATGTGAACTGTTGTTCCCTGGGATCTCCATCTGCTCGTTTGCCATCATTTCTGTCATTTCCGGACCCACCATTCCATGCTGCTTAATTTTAACATAATTAGATGATATTAAGAAGCTTTTCGTATCTGTATTACTTTGTCTAAGAGATTTATTCCTTTGTAAACTTAAATGAAAATTTTTCGTGATTAATTAGAAGGAACCTGGACATGGGAATATAAGGTTGGTGTAGAAACAAAAGGCTGAGGCCAGGGTTGGAAATCTTCGCCATTTGGATTTGAAATGCTTCCTTGCAACAATGGATCGTAAACAGTAGACGAAAGATCCCTATAAATTTTAAAGATTCTTTTATAAATCCTTGGAAAAGAATTATAATTGTTTTGTGTAAAAATAAGATTATAAAAGATAAATGGATTGACACAAATATTAATCATATCAAAAGTTTTAAAAATAACTACGAGATTTAAATTATATAAAAAGTTACGTATATAAACATGATACAATTAATTCATTTAAACATAATTAATGAATTAGATACATAGATTTTATAAACTAATTTATTATATAATTAATTGAACTTGTCATATATAAATTAGACATGTGAATAAGAAATGATTGTATAAAACCCGAACTCACTAATTTGATATCATCTTAGCAGCTTGTGTCCAAAATTAGTAGCTGTATCCACTACAGGGTGCTAAGCTTTATCCCAAATTTACACAGTGAATAAGCGAAAGGTGGTGAAAGGTAACCAAGGACTCAAAACGAAAACAGAATACTGTACTACTACCATCCCTCACTTTTTCTCTGTTCTTATGATTGAACAAGAACCTTCCCTCATCGTCTCCTCTGTCTCTCTATCTCTTGCTCAATGGCTTGGAATAATTTGCATAGCCAAGCCGCATAAACCACTAATTAAGCTCTCAATTTATGACACAGAAATTTCTACCACTCTCTATCAGTCTTTCCTCTCTTTTTTTTCTCTGTTTCTTTCTCTTGTTGTTTTTTTTTTCTTTTAATTTTATTATTCCAAGTTATCTGTTCTTCTTACTTAGCTAAAATGAAAATTAAAGTGTGATGTTCTTCTAGGCTGGACTTGTTTTACTGGAGCAGGTAAAGAGGATTTGCAGATCCAACAGTATAGAGTCACATGTGTTGAGAGAGAAAGCTAAATCATAAACTCCAATAACTTTTTGAAATTTGGTAAGTTCTCATTCATTAAACTAATCACACCATAAAACATATAATTCGGACATGGGTTCTTTCCTTCTTTTTTCCTTTTTTCTTTTGGAAGGGGAATATCAAATTCAACTATTAGTTTATGGTTTTGTTTTTGTATTTATTTTTACATGATTCATTTTGCCAGAAAAGATTGGGCAATTGAAGTAAAGAAAGTCTAACCATATGGTACTAAGCCTATGAAAAATGCACTTTACCTGAGTTGATTTAAAGCTGATGAAGCATCAAAGATTTGGGATTGGTTCTGACCACCATCAGGTAGCCAGTTGACAACCTCATTGTCGAAAGATGGAGGCAGCCCTTGCTGTCAATCCAATGAAATTCATAACTTCACCAATGTTGATTTCAAATCTAAATTTGTAAGTTACCCAGAGTTTTCATTTGTTTTACTGGTGAGTAACATTACCTGTATAGGAGATGGATGATAAGAAGATAAATGGTTGCTCAATAAATATTCCTGTAAACCAAAAGGTACGGGGATTTCACATAAAAATTGGAAAGGAGAAAATTTTACAGAAGGTAAAAAATATAACTATAATTATTTATAAGGGAAATTCCAACCTTTCTTTGCACAATATTTGCTAATGTGTCAACAAGATGTTTCTCACAGGATTCAAGCTCCCCCATGGACGTGAGCCTGAGAAGGTCAGGTTCATATGCCCTGTATTTCAAGAACCAGCAACTCACTTAGCCCAAAATTTATATGTATTCTTCTGTCTTACTTTTCGTTGTAGGTGTTTTCTGATCTTAAGTACCTTAGCTGTTCCTCTGCCATTTGAAGCTGTGGCTGTAACCTTACAATTTCTTGTTGGATTACCTGTAATGAAAAACATTAACAAAACTAATAAACCATAGAAGAAAAACACATTAAGGTTGTAAGAGACTGAGAATGTTTATAATACCTCAAAATCAGAGCTAAAAGATGCAGGGCTGTTTTGGGGCACAAATCCATTGACAAAAGAGACAAAAACTTTTCTTTATTAGATCATTTGATTAAACTAATCATACAAATGAATTTAAAATTACTGGAAATCAACTCAAAGATAGAGATAAAAGGCAGACAAACTTGGCAAGTTGTAGAGCAATATCATTTTCACTTCTTAGCTGCTGGAGAATCCTAAGCAAGTACTGCATAAAACACAAATTCCGAAGTTTGATGACAAGCCATTCTCAAAATTATACTCATTTTCATGTAACAGGTATCTTCTCCATGAATTTTCACGTAGTAAAAGGTGAGTCACTTTCTTACCTCTTTGTTTTGGATGTCACTGCAACAGAAATATAAAAAAGTAAATCTCTAGATAGAACATTAACTACAGCAAAAGATTGAAGGAGGGAATGACAGGTTTTAACGAAAAATTAAAAAGGAAAAAAAAAGGGTTTAAGAGAACATACGGATGTCTGATTTGGTCGGGGAAAATCAGAGCACTGCAACAGATAAAAAGTAATGGGGATTATGTTACCAAATCAACATATAACCTTGCAGAATAATTAGTTATAGCATAAAATTGCTTAAGAGCATACTGTTCTCTTTCTTGGTCAGGGAGATTAATGTAACGCGTAAAGACATCCTCAATCCTGGTTTTGACAAGAAAAGAAAAAGGTTAAAGACTTAACAAGTCGACATGCTTACAGTCCAACAAATTTGAAAAATGGAAAACACGAAAGATAAAAGCAACAGGCTAGTTTTTATCCTATTATTATTGAGAACGGAATGTGTTCAACGGTGCAGTCCAAGGTCCTTGTCTGCAGGTTTACTGTTAAAAGTTTGTGAAAACAGGGCTAACTAATAGAGTTAAGGGCATCGGCATGCATGAATTCTTTCTCGCACGCACGAAGGATTAAGTTGGACTGGGATTATTTTTAATACTAATTGTTAATTACAATAATAAATGTAGGTGATTTTGTCTGCTAATTAATTATAACTCTGGATTGAGCAGTACTCGTAGAGATTTTCATGGAGATAATTGAAAACTGCAAGCAATTCCAAAGAGGTAGTATTTGTTGCAGTATGTTTTGTATATATATCTTCACAACAATTTACGAAAATAACTTATAAATCACAAAAGTTTGTCGAAATTACTTGATAATATTAGTATTCTTAAACAATATAAAGGTTTGGAAATCATTGCGTTCTTGAAGAGTTATCATTTTCAAGAAAATCTAGTGAAATATGGTAAGATTAAATAAGCAAAAATTTGAGGTATTAGACAGGAAGAAACGGTAAGCTAGCCACCATCTAATAACAAAAAGGAATGAATGAATGCTAAAGAAAATAGCCCATAGTCATAGTAGTGTGTGTGTATATATATATATATATAAAGAACGAGAAGAATTGAGCATTGCAAAGGCAGGAAGTAATCTGGGTAAATTAAAAGGCTGCTGTGTTTGCACCTTCTCCTGCCAGAAAAATGGCTTAGTCGGCCTGATGGAGAGAACATGATAAGAGCAATATCAATGTCACAAAGGATGGAAAGTTCATAAGCCTTCTTAATAAGCCCATTCCTACGCTTTGAAAATGTAACCTGGCGATTGGTGTTGTTTTCTATTCTCTTAATCTCCAGTTTAACACGCCCCATCTCGATCTGTGTCACCTAAATATTCTATGCTAATTAAAAAGGGAAGTTTTGAAAACTTTGGAATCAAAAGACCCTACTTTTTATTATTTTTAGAACAAGAAAATCTAAGAGAAGCCTATATATTGTCAATGCATGGACAAGAGAAGCCTGAAAACAAGGGTTGTGGTTAGATGTGAGAGAGAGGTAAAGGGAGATGGTTAAAAATGGGTGGGAGAGAGGAGAGATTGAAGGATTTATAGAGAGGGAAGGGGTCATAGATTTGAAAGGGATTAATTCAATGGTTGATTTAAACGGTTTAGTTCGTTTGGTTCCTTGCATTGCTTCCTTAGTGTTTGAGGTTTGTTGGTCAATGGGGAAATTTTTTTGGTGGTTTTCAGCCTTTAGGAGTCCCACTTTTTAACCAATGCATGCACCAATCCTCATGTCATGTTCATTTGAGGACCCAAAACTTTGGCAAAGTCAAATTTCCTTATTGTCCAAAAACCCTAATTCCAATATGACATATATTTATATATATTTATTGCCAATGAAACAGGCCGACTTTGCGAAAGTGATTTTGGATAATCCTAAGGTAGTACCAGGGACGGGAGTCCGTTGGCTAATGTTTCCAAGCTGTCAACATCTTCCCAGGAATATACTTGTGCAAATGCGCTTCAGCATAAGAATCAGCTGTCTTGTTTTATACATTCATATAATTTTCAGTAGTGAATAAATTACTTTGTTTCCGACCAGCCGAAATTTATAAGCCAATAATTACGTATTTAAGTGAATGCTCGTCATGAGCTTGGATTTTGGACTCACCGAACAAGCCTAGTTGCTTCAATTTGAGGCGGGACGGTCCCGTTTGTTATCTGGTCACTGTCTAATTTCATGCTGCCCTGTAATGGTCAGAGAGGTTCCTAGCCGTTTTTTTTTGTTTTTTTGGAAACGCTGAATTGGATTATATTCAAATGGTCAAAACCACTGCCTCCTTAAAATAAAACCTGCAGCAGAACAAAAAGGGAACCTGCTGTACACAAAAACCTCTGATATCCCCAAAAAACAAAAATATACAACCCCCCTACATCCAAAAGGTTAGCTCAACGTTCTCCATTCCATCAGGGAAAACCTCGACAAAGAGATGGGGACTATATACATGACAGACCACATTCACAAGACAGAAGAATACCCAAACAAAGGCACAGAGCAAAAACTCCCCTGTACAATGCCGAACCGGAAGAGGCTGGAAAACACACTTCCTTTTACAGCCAACCACGCCATTTGAGCTGAACCAACGAGGTTCCCTAGCCTCCAAGGATCAGTAGAAAGGCTGCCTGCACAATAACCAGATGCAAGCACATAAAGACAGCCTGCACAAAACCAGCAGATGAGACCACAAAAACCAGGAAAGAAAAATATCAGCAACCATCCAATACCCCATTAACACAATGCAGGGGGACTTGCCTCCGATGGTCGTTAACATTTTTATGGAGAGGAAGTGTTTCAATTTGGATCAAGTTATACCTAATTAATCAAGGTCTCTATGAACTTCATATATATGTGCTTTGTTTGTCGATGATGATGGGTATATACCATATATATTTTTTCATTATTCGTGTTCTTAATTAAAGATAATATAAATTGTAAATAGAGAGATAATATCTAGTGCTCTTAATTGATTGTGGTGTCATCATTTTTGTGCTTGGACTAACCTATAATTAAAACAAAAAAGAAGGGCTCTCTGAGTTACACGGGGTAAGACAATTTCGGCCTGTTCAATGGGACTCTAGTGAAAGAAAGATCCATTACAGAAATACATGGAAGTGGCTTGCCTTCCTAAAACCCAACAATATTTATCTTGGGCTTAGGCTCGAACAGAATGGGCATGCGATCCAACACTTCAAAACTATGAATTCCAGATGATGGGCAGACTCTTTCAGTGTGCTTTTTCTCCTTTCAATTACTTTTCTTAAATGGTCGCCCCTCTTCCCCGACGACTGTGACCGAAACTTATCTTTGTATATTTTAAGTCACTAATTCAACCTGCTCCATGCATATGTCGGTGCAATTTAATTTATTACTGCCAGTAGTTAAAGAAATCGTCAGCAGTACGATCTCCGGCAATAAAGAGTGGTAAAATATTTTTTGGATATGGTTGAGGGGTGGGATTTCTCGAATCCAAATTGTCAACCTGGGCGGTCCTAAAATTCATTTTCTTGCAGGTGAATTCCGGTGTTCCAGGAGGCAATTGGGCAAAGGTATACAAACATACAGTAATATTCTTTGGGGAAATTCCTAATCTTGTCCTGCCTGCTTTCCAGCGTTGTCTTTCTTTTTTGCATATATTAAAGTATAAAGGACCACTTCCTCCAACCCGTGCTCTTCAAGTTATCCAACGTAATACCGCTACAAACTACAATGTAAATCTGTTGAACATAGAATTCCAACTATGGCCAATTCATCAATCCCAGCAACATATATGGAATTATGGAACTATAGTCTTACATAGGACTTTGGGAAAACTTGGTTCGGTTCTGATAACGTGTTCGAAAGGGAAAAAATTTTAAGCTAATTAAAAGAAACCTACGATAGGGCGGTAGAATATTAATACTTTAAATTAAAAGAAAGCTATATTTGAAGAAACCTGTGTGCTTGATGACATGAGATTCTCTTAAAATATGATTCGAAAATGGAAGTACCAATTACCAACTTGATTAAAATTAATTTGTGAGTTTATTATGCACCTGAGATTCATCAAATCTCATTTTGGTTAAAAATTTGAGATTAAATTTAGGAATAAATATGACATCAACTTTCAAAAAAGAAAAAAAAAAACCATGTCTGACAAGATACTTAAGCAGTTAGAATTTGAAATTTCAATTTAGAAATTTCAAAACAAGAATAGTGAATTTTATAAGAGCAAAACAAACCATAATCCAAAATTTAATGGTTCTCTATATATACCAAAACCAAATTGATTAAATAATGTCATCTTTAAAGAAAAAAAAATTGAAAACAAGGGCAAGGTGTTGAAATAATTCTTCTTTGGATACGCCTAAGTGAAATGGTGGAATGGGTGTTAAACCCTTAATCTTCTTTTCAGAGGTTGAGAAATTTTATCTTATACATTGAATTTTTTAAATTTCAATTGAACATACAATTAAAAAATAAAATATATTTCTCGAATTGTAAATAAATTGATTGATGGACTTGTCAAGGATGGTATATTGTTCCTCAACAAGAGTTGTTATTGATTATTAATTAGATTGTTTTCTTTTTGGTACATATTAATTTGATTGTTGGTACATTCTTTGTGAACAAATTTGTCCCTCTTGATATGAAAAGTATTCATTGATTCAATTTTAAACATTATATTCATATATAAATTGAAGTAATCATAAATTAATACATCTTCCTCTTAAGTTATATAATATAATGAAATTTTATTGCATCGGGATATATAGACGAATATATAACGAATTAAACCTTTTCCAAAGTAGTCTCCATGATCAAATCATGCCAGCTTCATCGTTAAACACAGAATTAAACCAAGTTTGCAGCTGTGGCCAGTCAGTGTTAGCCAAACATTGCACTTCCAGATTCAATTATTTTGTTCAGAATTTCCCCTTATTGGTTAATGACAAGTGTAATGAACAGGGTAAAAGAAAATCCACTAGCCTCATGCCAAAGACAAACCAGGAAGGAAATGCCACAGACATCAAATAAATAGTTGTCGCTTAACGACCCACATAATACCCCATTTGCTCACGTCTACCGTAAACTCTCCAAGAAAAATTTAATGCAAAGATTCTTTCAAGATTCCATACTGCAAATGAACTAAAACTTTTCAATCCCCTTATTATTATTATTAAAATTATTTACATGATGGAGCAAGCATTAGGGTTTTCATCACTAAACATGTTGGTGTAACCGTCGTCCATGGTGGTCTCAGCGATGTTGGCAGTGACAGGAACAGCCCTGACATGATTGGGAGGCGCCTTCTTGTCATAAGCTTGAGCCACGTAAGGGTTTGCCACCAGAGTGTACGGCACATAAGGCCACAACTCCACCTTCTTCTTCGTCGACTGCGCCGCCGCCAACACTTTCTTTGCCTCTACGTAACCCGTCACGGTTGCCTTTTGTTGCTTCAAGTCCACGTCCACAGACTTAGCCCCTACAGAAGTTGAAGAATTCCAAAAAATAAAAAGGGAAGAAGCAACACAAGAACGAAATGATATATTATATTTTGCTCAAAAAATTCGAATTCAATTCTTTCATCTAAGGAAGTGTACACTTATCATTGAACTGTAGTGGAAGTTTGGCATAGTACCTTTCACTCCGGAGAGAACTTTCTTGACCTTACGGGCACAGCCTTCACAATCCATCCTGATTTTGAGAGCTACAGTCTGTGTTTGCTTCTTCTTTTTCTTCTTTACGCTGCTGAGCAAATCAGAGATGTATTCCAACGTGCCTTCAACTCCCATTTTCTTTTACTTCTGATGCACTTTGAGAAGGAAGAGTGTATGTCAGTATATAAAGGAAACGGTTAGCTGATTTCAATGCAAAGAGCTCAAGCGAAAGGCAAAGGTTGGAAGGGTTTGAAAAGAAGTAAAAATATAGTTAATGTAGGATGGCTCTGTCTTGAGTTGAAGAAAATGACCACTCCAAACTGTTTTTCGTCTCAAAATGGACATAAAATAATTGTAACAAGAGAGAAGCGTAAAGATTTATAGAGGAAGGCAGCGGATACAGTGGGTCGTCACGGCTAGCTTGTATGGATTTATAGTTAAAAAGTAAACGGGTCTTTTTGAAAGAAAAGTAAAAAATATTAAGTTAATTATAATATCTTTATTAATTAAGTGACTTTAATTTCGTTTTACTATTAAAATATTAGAAAGCCGGTTCTCCCAGAAGCTCCAGGAAACTTCCTTGGGGACACTGCTGATTCTCTCCCTGTGACATGGTATAAATTAAAAAGTCTTCTCTTTTTAGCGTTCACTTTTAGTTCATTTTAGGTAAAGAGCAAATCCTGAATAGAAACCTCTTCGTTTGCAGGCCATTACCCTCATGTTCTTGGCCAAAACAGTGGTGAAAAGCCTAAAATGGATAAAAGGGTTAAAGTGAACGTTGATTAGTTTGCCAAGAGTTCAATGCTTGAGGAACACGACATGTGAAAGTAAAGAAGAAAAGGGTTGTCCCATGGAAAGAGACATATATCAAGAGTAGAAAAAATTACGAACATTTCTTTGTGTTTTTCAACCCACAAAAAAAAATATTATAAATGTTCCAGTTCAATAATGGATCAGCGAGATGGACATCAGCAGCTGCCACGTATGAGAAGATCTGGAGTGACAAGTGGGTAGAGAAGATTCCAAGGGGGTGATCCCAGGCCACGTGGCAAAGAAATTTCTCCAATGGATGGGGTTAGCTTTGAACATGTCGAAAGCAGTGTTGGTCACCAGCGATTGTCCACTTGTGAAATTGCTTGGCTGATTGGGGTTTGATTGGGCGGTGGGACTGCACATAAAGGAGAAAATATATAAAGAAACAATAAACAAAAGCTGAGAATGTATTTGGCTGCCCTGACAGATGGCAGCAAGCTTTCAAGGGTGAGTGTTTTAAATTACGACCTTTCTGAATCCAAATCTAAAGCTAAAAAGCTCCCCCTACTCCATGAAAATGAAGGTTTCTATTTCCTGGAATTTTTTAAACGAATTATTGAGATGTGTTGTCCTAAATTTTTCCTTTCGAAGTTGTTGGGATAAGGCCCAGATCGTCATGCAATGTTTGATATGCCCTTAAATTTAATTATTATATACATCTTATGCAATTACTGCTTAGATTGCTTTCTTCGAGAAGTAGAATTGAACTAATTAAATTCATCTTATGCTGCTAAGATTAACTCATTGTAAGGGGAAAAATTAGTTTTGGTTTTACAAAAAATTATATAGCAAGAACTAACTAAGTTTATCTTGAAATTAGCTTGATATCAAACCTTCAAGTTCGTAAATTTGTGGATGAAAAGAATTGTTGCAATTCCTGTATGGATAAAACCACGGGGGAACAGTGACTTTCTATGATTAATGTATCAGAAAACTATTAGCAGATGTGTATGTATCCACGTCAATATTAATTGCAATGCACAGTGCTTACAACTGCCTGATTCAAGAGCCGTAGTTCCCTCTATTATCACTAATTTATTATCCTATTTGATTAGTCAGTCAACCATATAGCCATGCAATCCAGTTCTTGAGAGTGAAGCTCTCCCAGGATCATTAAATTTTTACCAACCCTTTGCCTGTTAACCAGTAGCATATCTGCATCTTGCAGGCCAAGCGCTTTCCTTGATGATGCAAAACTTCCTTTATGTTCTTTAAACATCCCCTCGTAGCTTTCTTTGTATTGATGGGGCAGAGGGCAATGTACCGATGGGGCCGTGGTGCCAAAATTTTTACAATTTTTTATTTATTATATGGACGTATTTTAATCACAGCGAAGGATAGTATATTTATGCAGGCGTGGTGTTTAAAATTTTTTTAAAAAAATTATTTATTATATATTTTTAATATTTATTAAAATAAATTTTTATTAAATAATTAATATAATAAAATAATATCATAAATTTTATTTAATTTTATCTTAATTTTTAAAATTTCTTCATACCTCTTTCTCTCTCTTTTTCTTCTCTTATATCTTTTTATTTTTACTTTACTCTTTTTTGTTGTAATTCACCACTAAAATACTTCATTCTTCAAAAAAAAGTTTATAAACTTATGAGGTTAAACAAAGAATCACCACTATGTGAAAATAAAAAAATATATTATTTTATTTTATTTTTTATTTATATTATTTAGTTATTTATATATTTAATTATTGTACAAAAATTTATATATTATCAAGCACAACTTTATTAAAAAATATTGTAAATCACTTTTTCTTAGTTCTTTTTAACCTATTAATTTTATAAATTTTTAAATTTTATTTCCCAACGTCTTTTATCTTTAACAAAAGCTGATTAACTCCACACTACCCACAAGATCAGACAGGGTATGTCCCCCAATAAACATGCCACCAGGAAATGCCCTTGATGCCCAGAAAACAGTTTCTTTCACCTGTGATGCCACACCTGAGTTATCACGGAAGCTCCCATCGCCATCGCCATCGCCATCAGTCACTGTGAATACCGTATGACGGGAAATCGTGAGTTTTCCAGTCTCTCCCCCACCAAACAAATTTAGTTGAACTGCCGAATACTTATTTGTTTTAATAGAGTATGTTCTTACGTTATTATGTTTGGAGTGTACATCAACAAACCTGGATTAAGGTAAATGTGTTGAACGCGTGTAATTTGATCCTTGTTGGAATACAGAAAACCTCACTAGATTATATAAAATTCAATCATATCTATGCAATGGCTTCCTAAGATCTTAGAAGTCGGTATTGTAATGAAAAAAGACAAATTAATATAAATACACGATATCAGCATGGTCTCAAATCACCCACCCACCCAACAATAATTTGTATAAAGGATGCCCTTCATTTTGGTGCGTGCAATGAGGAATTAGAAGGACCCACACTGCAGCAACATACCAATCATAAAAGAAGAACTCAATAATTGCCCACAAACTATACTGAATTGCTGGACTTATAGGCTTGTGCTCTGAACAGAGAATGAAGCAGGTTCGTGGATTTTCAGAAGCAGAGCTGTTTATATCTATACCTAAAATCCTACTTTCACCATTTGTCTTTTGCACCCTTTTTGTCGTTACCAATTTGTGGATGGACACGGTTGATCAAGACAAGCTGTAAGTTCACAGGAAAGATGAAACAGATCCAAAGATTCAAAGTTTTTCTTTTATTTTGTCTGATTAATACTCTTTTCTGGCAACCAAACAAAGAAGGGGTCTCTAAGTTCTTGATAGTGGCCTTCTATTAACACGAATGCAACTATTGACCCCACCTCCATTTTGGGGAAGGGGGGCAATGGAATCAATTATACATCAAGCTCAAAGCTTCTTCTCTTTTCCTTCGTGTGGTGGTACTTTTCGGGGTAAGTTTTATGTTAACATCAAAAGAGGGTCATCCACTTTGACAATGAACAGAGGCAACTAATAATGCCCAACATTTCATGTTATAATATTCAGGTATGCACATACCTAATTTATAATTATAATTTTGCTTTGATATTGTGGAAAAGTTCTTCCCACTTGAATACTATTAGATCACATTCCCAGACAAACATGCTCCTGTACTATTACTAAGCCTTCAATTTCATAACTTAAATTCAAACACAGATAAAGATGGATCAGATCAAAGGAACTTCGCAGCAGTTACGTGTAGGCTCAACATCAATAAATTATTTATTCTAATGAAAGCAAACATATACCGAAAGCAGATTTACTAGGAAAAATGAAATGCTCTTACTACCAACCCCACTCATTAAAATAAACGAAGGTGAACAATGTTTGCAAGTTGTAAAAGAAACTGACAAGAATTGGGAGGATTTACAAGAGAGAACTAGTTATGGTTAAAGTAAACACCTTAGAATTAGCAATGAAGCCATCAGACAGAGCAGGTTAGGAATTTGCAGTGATGAAGCTGCAGAAGGATTTGTGGAAGCCCTTCCGGCGACTGCCGGAGTTACTGCCCGTGTATTATTGGTGCTCTGTTGCTCATTGGTTGGCAATGGTATAGGAGATTCACCACTGGGAGGAGGCGCAAGATGTACACTTGATTTGTCATTCACATCTTGGCCTGCAGATCCAAGTTGACATAACTTCAGCACATTATGTAGTTAAGTAAGAAAATTTGTTTTTACATATTGGAAGCTTTAGAGGCAAAACTGAGGCAGAGAGAACTCTACGTCGCTTCTCACCCAAAAAAAATTATGATCAATACAAGATTATTGAAGAACCAAAGTTAAAGGAAGTTACAGATATAAATAAATAACTTGGCCTCCTCCAAAGAAAATATATTAAGTATAGGACTGACACGAAGCTATGCTTTGCACTGCTCCTGTATAATTTAAGGTTCCACTGCTACCTAATCGAAATGTTTATACATAACTATATACATTAAATGTACATGTATCAATAGTCCAAGTCTGCTACTTAGCACCATCCAATTCTTAGATGAATGAAAAATGTGGGACTGTTCTTTTCTGAGATAACATCTACAATGTCAGCTACAAATCCTGTTCCAATATAATGTTCTGGTAACAAATAACGCCTCTAACATGAATTTTCAGTTCAATATTGTGTGAGATAAATTAATAACCTTTTCACAGAAAATGTAAAAAATCATAAAAATAAGTCATTAGTATGCCACTATTCTTCCAATAAATAAATTTAAAATATGTATAACATGAACATTACTTGTAAACAACCATTAAAAGTGCAATGAAGTGTACGATCATGGCTGGAACCCATGAATTTTCATGCCAAAGAACAATCCCTCTAATACTTTGTTTCTTCTGCAGAGAGAGGGAGCACAGAAGGGAGGGAGGGAGTACAACAGAGTTCAATTCAGTTTCTGCATGCCATTGCATGTACACAGTCCTGCATGACCTTTGAATGGCTTTACAAAGAGAAATTTAAAACTAGATACCCATGCCGATCTGCATGACATGGCATCCACATACTGCAAAAAACTAGTCAGGCCAGAAAAAAAAGCTAGACACTGGACAAGGTACAAGTGGTTCAAAACTTCAAAAGCAAGAAAAAGATACAAGGAGGGCAGAGAATTGATGGGGAATTCAATCGTCAAAATTAGATGAGGAAAAGAATGTATCGCTCAAAAAAGCGGTCACCTTGGTCGTTGCAAGTGCTTTAGCATCTAAAAGACTACTGGGAGGGAAAGCTGCTGTCAACTTTAGAGGATGATTGATAAAATTCTCTAATTTCCACAATTATGCCTAACAACTAAGAAGTTCTTCAATCTAGCCATGTAAACCCAAGATAAAGGAGAAGCCCTTCAAAAAGAAAAAAGACACATGATATAGCTAAAAGGGTGGAAAGAACTAATCTGTTACTTACAACTGGAATGTGACCAACCCAACTTCAGATTTTCTCGATCAAAAACAATGTCATGACCTGTCATGAAGTTTTCTGCAATACATGATTGTTGATCCAGTGTCATTAAAAACAAAGAAAAGAGAAAGAGAAGAAGAAAATAGCAAAGCCATAAAAAAGATGCAGGTATGTATCAACAGCCAAGGAGGTAGACTCACGTCCGATGATACCAAAGTCATCTTTACCGCGTAATACGGTTAAACAGAATATTGTGAATCCCTGCACAAAAATGTCCAGACATTATGTTTCCTTGAAAACCATAGAAAATTAGGACCAGCCTAGAGTAAGATATCAATAACAAGAATGGGAGCAAAACAAATTAGTTGAATTTGTCAACAACTTCCTAGGAGATTTCAGTAGGCAACCTTCCTAACCATAGCATAACAAATGTGGAAATAAGAAAAATTATTTGGCTTTTATAAAAAGAGCTAGGAAGTGCCTAGGGGAATGTAAGTTTGTTATTCTGCCTCTAAAGAATGCTAATTTCTTTTCCCATCATATCGATAATTAGAAAGAAACACCACTGAGAAAGAGGACACAACCCCCATCCAAAGAAATTACACCAGAATTTGACACATGCATGATTTATGCTGCACAAGTCTATGCAAGCAGCTTGTTGTCTTCAGCTAAATTCATATTGACATCTGACTTACCTTAATTTGCAAACTACTTTTAAATAGTCTCAAAGTGAAAGTTCACATGCAAGATAGACAAGAACAAGAGAATAACCTCATTTCCAGTATAGGAGTATATGTGATTATGAATGTCAAAGCTTTGGTTCATAGCAAATTTAAGTCTCATGCTAGGAATTTTGAACGGCTCCTGTGAACTGCTCCAAGGGAAAAAAGAGCAGACAATCAGAATGAAGAATAAGGAAAAGGCTTCCAAACCTCACACACAGTCTAACATCCAACCTGACATTGTAACAGTACTTCCAAAAATCTTCTTGATTGCTAATCCTTCTGGCATTTACTTGTTTATCAAACTGTAATAAAGGAACAATAATTTTGAGGCCATATAACAATAAACATAATAATTTCTACTATATTAATGATAAGAACAAAAAGCAGCACCTCCAGAACAACTTTATCATAGATTTCAGGAGGAAGATACGTGAAAGATGTGCCACTATCCACCAGTGCTGAGAATCCAGATTTCACAAGACAAGAGCTCCCAACGCATAAATGCTCCACTCTTACAAAGTATTTTTCACTGAAACAATTAAATGAAAAATACTGAATTTCACCACCAATACTATAGCAGCAAAATGTAACACCAGATAAAAGAAGTGCCTGAGCTAATAAAGCAAACAAAAAGAACATTTAGAAGGGTCATATAGATGGCATACTATTTTCCTCCTATTGGTAAGAATGGAGTAGATTGTTGAGTGGCAAGCCCTTTATCACCAAAATAAATTCTTCCAGAACCATTCTCATCTAAACAAATTGAGAACGAATTCTGAATCAATCCTGCTTGTGCCAGCAAACTAGGAACAGAAATGTTCCCAGGTCCCAATCCCATTAGACCATCAGGAGCAGCTCCATCCAGATAGCCACCACTCTGCTTCCTCCCACAGCTGAATTCAAACAAAGTGAGCAAAGGAAACAAGCAACATCATAAACAAAGGCATGAGCAAGACTAATTTGGGCATATCAGACATATCGTTGGCCAGAAAAAGAAAAAGAACAAATAACATGAAGTACAATCACAACACACCCTATTACAACTGGAGCTTGTACTGAACTCTCTTCTGAATGGCCGCTAAATGACTTCAAATGTAATTTATCTTCAACAAGATATCCAGAAGTTGAGGTATTATCCGAGTCATACTCAATAATGTAGGGGCAGGGATCATTCGGCCCTTTGCAGTAGGAACTTGACTCACACAACAGATGGCTGCAAGACAGGTTTTTGCTACTACTTGACAAAGATGGGCTATACTCACTCAGATCTTTATCCTGCACAATAGATGCCCCAAGTATGTTGGAGCACCTGCCAATCAATCATTGGAATTAAAATGCTAAAACAGTAACCGTCTACCAATTCTTAGAACAAGTAGTCCACGAGTTATGGAAGCAATCACATTAACTGTCCCTTTAATTTGTAGTCAAAAAGAAATTGTACAGTTTTTCCAATCAAAGTTTGAAACGTTTCTCCCCTCTTTGAACAAAATTAGCACACCCATCATCGTAAGGTTAATAGGCAGAATATTCTGTTAACTTAAGCAAATTAATCCGAAATTACCAAATTGTTTCATCTTTAACTGAGCTTATATCCATGCTTATCCAATCTATTAGTACCATTCTATAACCAATATTTTAATTACAAATATCCAATGAAGTTAAAAAATCATCACCATTCTCCTATCCAACCACCACCAACTCATAGTTAAATTCATTTTAACTAGAAAAATAAATAGTACTATTTGCTTTGGAAATGAAGCTGTTCCGATCATTATTAAACCTCACATGTATATTTAAAAGGACCAACCACTAATCAGAATACAAATACCCAATTCATTGTCACAAGAGAACCAAGAACCCCAAACATGTAAAGCAGTTGAAAAGCTGAAACAACAGCAAAACAGCCTTTGAAATCATTAGTAAGTAAACATAGTAAAGTAAGCAGTAAGAAGTAAACTTAAATGGAAACAGATAAAGATAAATAAAAGTGAAAAATGTAGTAATTAAGAAAAGAAGTAGCAGAAAAATGGTAGATTATGATTAGATTACCAAGGAATTATAGTAACCGGCAGACAAAGGAGCGCATTGTATGCAATCACATGGGACCCACAACAGGTCGCTCCCAGCATCCAATGCTACCAGGAATGAAACATTCGGTGTTCCTAGGTCTATCCATGTGTAATGTAACCTGTAAATTTTTTGCAACCCCAAAAACAAAATTAATTACTTATGCTAGTATTTAGTAAAAAAAAGATTAAATCCTTTTTATCCAGAAAAACAAACACGAACAACTGAACGTCCTTTTGACCTTTAATAACAGTCTTAGACTTCTGTTTCCTTTTCTTTTTTTTTTGTTTTGAAATAAAAAGAAATATGAAGCAAATTAATAACTACAAATATTAGAAAGCAATATAAACTGAGAAAATAAAGAAGTGGAACTTTTCTTCTCCTTTTCTCTGTACTTTTCTCGAGAGACAAACAGAAAATAAGTTCTAAAAGAAAAATTAAAAAAAAAACTTCAAAGAAGATGACCAGTCAAACTCGTTTCCGAAGAAGAGAGTTTCACTTCCTTGAGAGGGAAACAGCAGCGGGTACTGCGAGCCGAGCTTCATCCTCTGCCTCTTCAAATCGTTACCAATAAGCAACTCCAAGTACTCCAAGCTATTCCTCTTCGGCCAAGAAACGACGCCGTTACCTGCATTACCGTTTCGAGCAGTCCAAAGCGCCTTCGCCTCGTCGGAAAACCTGTGTATCAACCTCGACGAAAATGTAAGCGCCGCCGAACCTCCAAGTAAAAGCGAAACGCTTAGAACCAAAAACACCGTGCGTTTCTCCATCAGAAACCGTTTATCGTTTCAAGCCTTTTGAGAGTTGTTTTTGTCTTTTGAATTTTGCAGAGCCGGTTGGTTTTCTGGAGGGGAAGAGGGGTGCGTAGTGCGCTTAGGCTAAGGAGGCTAGCACGGTGTCGTTTTGGGATGGTGTGATCGTTCACGTGAAAGGCAAAAGTGCTGTTGTATAAGAAGAGGCGGATTAGGGAATTTGAATATTATTTTTCTTTGATAGAGTAGGATCCAATGAAAGACAGACACGTAGGGTGGGTCCTATTTGAATACGTGTCGAACACTGAGAATGGACGGTTTGTGGCGGCACGTGGGGTTCTTTTATTAGTAAGCTTTTTAAAAAGGAAAAAAATGATGCGATTGCGACTTACGAGCCTCGACCTTCTTTCATTTTCGTTGCGTTGTTTTCTTTGTTTAATTTGACAGCTCCGGACCGATCGCTAATTAATCACTCTTTCTTTTTGTTTTCCAACCTTAGTAATACTCATCAATTTTTAAATACATCACGAACAAAAATATATTATTTTTTAAACTTAAATTACATAAATTTTAAAAACATTAAAATTAAATTATTAATAATGATGAACTTAAATTTTTAGATAAATCTTAACCATTACTTCACATTTTATTTGAAACGAGATATCTTAAATAAATAATTAAAATTAAATACTCAAATTGAAACTAAATGTTTGAATTTTTTTAATTAGGGGTAAGTGTTTCAATTATAACAATTAAGGGTAAATTTTTTTATTTTTTACAATTAAAAATTAAATTGATAGACAGATAAAACATGTATCACACGTAATAAAAAATTATATTAAAAATGTAATTATCATACATCATGTTAACAAATATAGTTATTACACGTCATATTAAAAATTTAATTATTATACATTATATTGAAAAATTTAGTTATTACACATTATGATAAAAAAGTTGTTACAAATCACACCATAATTTGAATCATTTTGACTTGATAAAGAATATTTTTTGACAAAACTATCATTTCGTATCTTAAATTATTAAGACAACTTCCGCTTCATAAGTGTGTTCTACACATGCCAGACACCCATCACTTTAACTCTTAATTGTCAATAACATAAAACATTTAGCTCTTAATTGTTACAATTAAAAGATTTGATCCTATTGACAAAAACCTAAGGATTTTGACCTCAAATTGAACATCTAGTGAATAATTAATGTTAATTTTAAGAGTAAAAAACCTCTCACACTCTTAAATTTTAATTAAAATTTCAAGCAAATTTATTAATTTTCGATATGAACACCTTGCCCCTAAAAAATGTAAACATCGTTAACAAAAATTATGAAAAGATTAAAATTTTTTTTTATTAATTTAAAAAATTATTATTATATTTTTTAAAAAATAAGGAGCACAACTCCAAGGGAGCACTTATTTTTTAAAATTAATAAATTTTTTATAATAGTAATTTTTAAAATTAATAAAAATAAATTATTATTTTAATATTATCACATCATCAAAATAATAAAATTATTAACAATTAACTAATTACTAGACTTATGTGTCTAACGAAAAATATTTTTTTAGACCAAAATATCAATTTCAAAAATTAATTGACCCGTTTAAATTCTAATTAAAATTTAAAAATGTGAAAATATTTTACCCTCATTTTAAATATTTTTAAAAAAACAATAAAAAGACATATTTTCGTAATGGAGAAAAGGCCAAGTAATTCAAATTCAAATTTATGAAAAAACAGAAACATCAGCCGGAGATGGTGGGCCATAAGTGTCCCATAAACCCCGATGCTAACAGCATTAGGTATTGGTCCGATGAATTTTTTATTTAAGATAAATATTGCCCTTTGAATCTAAAACATTCCTCCAACTTTATCTTGCTCTTATCAAATAATTCAAGTAGCACAATCCAAGAAATATTAATTTTTATTGCTGTGTACATAATTTATTTTACATGTATGGTGGGAATCCTTTCCATCTTAATGCAGTAGATGTCTATTTTTTAAGAACATTGTCCTTTTAATTCAATGTACATGTGATTATTATACTGTTACTTTTATGAAATTATATCTGAATTTAATGGGTGTACATATATTAAAATTTTTCGTAAAAAAAAAAAAAGAACTAGTACTGTTTTTGGACTATAGGCTACAGCCCAATATAAATTGAGCTTTTCCTAGGTCGCCCATGGTATCTACTCTGATTTGGGCCTATTGCTGGCTGGTTGAAGCCTTTCTTTCGTCCTTTTAAATATTTATGGTTTTTGAGTTCCGTCTAATCAAACTGTCTTTATAACAAATACATGAATATTTAATTTATTAATTAATGTATAATTTATTTATTTAAAAAATAAAATTTTATTTTTTTATTTTAAAAAACAAAAAATTATAACAAACTTTACATTTCAATCCAAAAAAGACACATTTAAGTGAGTTTGGGTTTTAGATAATCATGTTTCGTGTTTTAATACTATATTTGCATGACACGACATGGTAAAATTGTATAAGCTTTGATATCCATTATAACAACCCAAGTCCAAATATTATTTCAGCAACTTTTAGACCTAAACCATGTAACACACAAAAACTCAAACTCAAGTTATCAATAGTAATGGACTTGTTTTGTTAAATAAATTTTAAAAATCACATTCACATGTAATGTGGGATAAAATATCACATCCATATTTCTAACACTAAAAACATTTGAACCTACCTTGACTTTCGTATCTATCATAGGATCCCATATTAGTGAAAATTTTAATAGATTCTTATAACATTTGTAACGAATTTACATTTTTAATTTAAAAAATATGTTTATTATGTAAAAGAAAACCTTTATGTATAAACTAAAGATTTATCTCATTTTTTTTGTGTGATGCGTAATAAAAATACCCTTATATTATTGTCAAAATTTTATTTTAACCTTTAAATCATTTTTTTGTTTGAAATGACTTGCAATACCAAACTCAGTCAAGCTCTATTAAAAATAATATAGATATACAATATTAAGTCCAAGCAAAGAAAGTGGTAGCTAGATCCAATAAATTACAAGAAAGATACATTAAATAATTAAACTAACTAAATTTAACATAAAGTTGGAAAAAAATTATATCTATACCATCATATAATACTAATTATCGAGTTTAGCATTACGAATGAAGTAATACCAATTCACTTAGTGAAATTATTTAAAAACCACTTATCATAGTACACAGAGAGTATACAATTAAGGATTCATGAGTCCTTTTATTTTTCTTATAAAATACATTTTGAAGAAAGTACCAATTTTTTCCAAAAATTTACTCAATTTTTTCAAATAATTAACTTATTTCCTTTTCTAAGAGTCTTTTTTTCCAATATATCATATTTTAATAAATTTTATATTTAATATACTGTCAATGTATAAACTTTATATATTGAAACTGAATCAATTATGTTCACTTTATTAATTAATAAATTTAAAAATTCTAAATTCTAAATACTCATAATTTTTATTTTAAAAGACTTTTAAATTATTACTTTTTTTGTATTTATGAGGTGTCACTCCAGGATTAAATTATATTCACTAATATTTTATCAAATATAAACTCTTCTGTTAGTAAATGTGATTTGAATTTGAGAGAGTAATGCTATTAAGGTCGACTTCTTGAGGCCAAAAGCAATTAAACCACTCACCTCGTCGAAATTAAAGCAATATTTAATGTGGCAATGATTGTAAATAAATAAAAAATGAATAATATTTTTAAATCGTAAGTGACCAATCTCTGAAAGTTAATCGGTCTAAAATTTAGTGATTTAGGATACATATAAGGAAGATGCACCAAGATGTGTTATGCGAAAATATATAAAAATTATAATCATTTAAAATTTTATATAAAGAATTCTTAGAATAAGCATTATTACTACTTTTTTTAAAAAAATTAAATTACTATTTTTATTGTCTTTAAATTTCACTTTTATTTATTTTTTAGATTAAAGGACTGATCACCCCCTTATCATCTTATCTCATAGTAAAAAAAAAAAAGGAAAGAAAGAAAAGAAAACCCTAAAATCAGCCCATTAAAAGGCTAGAACGTTACTTCGCAGTTAGGACATACCCATTCCATGATCAATCTCTCCCTAATCCCTCAACCCTCGCCTAAAATTAGGTAATTTATTCCAAGAAGAGAGTTTTTAGACATATTTTTTGTAAAAAAATTCTCTTGTAGCCAAGAAAAAGAAAAAAGAGAGCCTGAAAAACGACACATTTTATCTGTCAATCAAAGAAACTACTGAGGGGGTGCATTTGCTAATTGCTTCTCTGTCTCTACCCAATATATTTTCTCTTTGTGAGTTGTCTTCTTTTATTATCATCATCATCATCCCTTCTTTCTTTCTCCCTTTGTTTTTCTTTCTTTCAGGCAAGTTTCCACATCTCCATTTTCCCTTGTCTTTCTTGCAGAGATTTTTATTTTTTTTATACTTTCTGATATCAGTTAGTTTAACCTTCTTGAATCTGGGTTTTCCTTTAGGGCTTGAAGAAGTTCAAATGTGACTGAATTTGGGCTTTCAAAATAGGTATGTTGTTCTCCCTCTCCGTCTCCTTTCTGAAGCCCTGTTCATTTCCGTGATCAAATAAAACATAACAAAAATAATCCCACAATCATTAGTTTCCGGGAGAAACACGTTTTGAATGTTTCTTTCCTTTTATTATATTAATTTTCAATGACTGCGTGAATTTTATTTTATTATGCAAATAAAATAGTACAATCATGGGGGTGAATTCTCATCAATGATTTTGAAGGGGGGGGAAGAATCGTTCCTGGCATGCGTTTGCATGACAGATGTGTTGCTTCATTCTTGACCCTCAAGCCCTTTCGGACGCGTATCATTTGATTTTTGGTTTTATTTTTCTATAATTTAGCCTATCAACAATATTTTTTTTCTAGTTTATCGGAACAAAACTTGTTCACATTTCTTTCCTCTATATCATATGTTTTTGATTTGTACATTAACTATATATATATATATATAAATATATAATCCATAGATTAGTACCATGTCATAAACAATATTATATTTTATATAAATTTGAATTGTGGTACTGAATTCAGTGGCACTTTGCAAATGGAGCTACGCTTACAAAAATTCAAACAGAAAACGTTTTATTTAAACTCAATTTACAAATTTAGGGTAAGGAGCCAAATATATATATATATATATATATATATTCAACTGAATAATACACCTCAGGAGAGGTACAAATTATACTGAGATCACACGTGTAAAATAATCACCACGTGCATCACGAAACTGTCTCAAATACACCCAAAAACAGATATGCCCTGCTTCCTTCCTTTATTGTCTTTCTTCCTTGTAAGAGTTTTTTCTATGTTTCAAACTCTAGTAAAAGGGGTGATATCTATTTAATCCAGTGTATAGGATAGATTTTTAGACTTTATAATGGATTAAAAGAGTGACAAGTATTATAGTAGGTATATATATAAAATAATAATTTCCTTGATATTTTTTGTGCAAAAAACAGGTGGAAAAGTTGCAAAATAGAGGAGATTCTGAAAATCTAGCTCCATGCCACATATATAACCCAATCTTGACGTCACAGATATTAGCTGTCATCGCTCTTTTCTCTCTGGCTCAATCCATCCGTCCGTCTTTCCCTCCCTTCAATACTCCTCTCCTCGATAACACACTCTTCCCAATTTTATCCCATTTATTTCCCTCTATTTATAACCCAATTACCCTTCTCTCTCAATTTCTCTTCATGCGATTCTAGTTTTTGTTACCTTCCAACCACCCCCTCCCTCTTCCCCAAATCCGAAAACCCTTTTTTTTTTTTTTTTCTTTTTTTCAAATGCAGCCCCAGAAATATTATTCAGCATCATCGTCGGAGATACAGCTTGGCCTTGAGACCTTAACGATTTGTCCAAAGAAGAGCCAAACTGAAAAGCATTGCAATTCTTGCATGATTGCCTCAAACGTCGTTTCCTCATCGCCTTCTTCTTTGATCGGTGATTACATTGGCATGGAGAGTTGCTTTGATCTCGACAAAAGCGAAGGGGTTTGTGTTTCCAAGACTTGCAGTGGTGGTCATGATGTTAATAGCAACGATTGTTCTGGGGTTTGCAATAGAAGACGTGGGAAGAGAGAACAACGGTGTAAGAGGATGAAGAGAGAGTTTCCTCCTCCAATACCGTCGCTTGCCCGCACCGGAAATCTGTTTTCTCATACGCCTTGGGTGCTCAGGCGGTATTACACTAGCGATGGACGGTTGATTCTTAGGGAGGAGAAGGTGAGACACCATGAATATTTCCGGGCTCACCGATCCAATGGTCGTTTAACGTTGCATCTTGTGCCCTTGGATGAGAACGATTTGGCTGACCATCATCCTACTGATGGTATTGAGGATTGCAAGATTGATCATGAAGAAGCAAAGGAAAAGGCTGAAGTCAATGTCTTTGACAGCAATATTAACAATGACGAGGAGGATGATAAGAGTAATATTGTTGAAACTTTGGTTGAAGATAATGATGCTGTGATTGAAGATTCAATTGTAAAATGCTCATCAATGGCTGAGACTCCAATGGAGAATGGGATTGCAGCAAATGGAGGAAAATGCTTGAACTGCAGCAGTGTAAGAGCAAGTCCCACTTGTTTTCTCGGTTTGCCAGTGCCAGCAATCAGGCCAGTTCACAGTTAGGTAGCAAAGCCTCTTCCATAAGGAGTCAAATTTTCTATTTTTTTTTCTTTTTCCAATTTTCCCCTTCTTTTGGGTCGTCATCTTCATTGATGTGATAAGAGTGATTTGTCTTTTTCATGCCCTTTTAGGGTTAGTGGTAGAGGCTCCAAGGGGTATGATCTTGTTAGGGTTTCGTTGTCTTGTGGTTATGAACAAATAGGTTTTTCGTTTTGGTAAGGGATGAGCTTTTTGAGTTTTTCCCCTTTTTTTTCCCTTTCTTGGGTTTATCTAGCTGGCCATTTTCATGTCTACATTATTCGATGCCAAGTGCTAAATTCCTTCTTATGCAACTATTTCCTTTTCTCCTCCTTTATGTTTGCAAAGAAAGGATACTGTAGATGGATATTGACTAAACAACATAACATGGCACATGCAAGCTGCTGTAAGGGTACATTTTGATGGGGAATGGGAATGGGCTATGGTATAATTTCATTGGCAATTATGCATTTATTTCTGGCGTTTTGCCCAAATTTTGTTCTGTCCAACTCATATAGATCATCAATGATTAATCCACACAATCTTGAAAGGGTTAAGAGTATGGCACCCTTGCTAAACTCTGTCATTCTCCATTGGGTTTACTACCTTTTTGGTTTACAACCTGAACAAATTTGAGTGGGTCGTTTTGGGACATTTTATTTGTACGTACGACCTTCCTAGGTTGTTGTTTTCATGTTTTTAGTTTTTGAAAAAAATGGTTGATATTGAATTTTACATATGGTGTACACAGATTATGATTAAATTGGATGATTGGATAGAATAAAGAAAAAGATATAGATATTTAAGATATAGGATGACATATCTTATTAATATCATCAACTCAAAAAGATTATTAAGCATAGATAGACACGTATGCAAAGATTAAGAACATTATGCATACCTCTCTCTTTAATATACACACCAAAAAGGGGTGCACAGCACAAACTGAGGTATACTATAATTAATATTAATAATCTTATCTATTTTTTAAAAAATGAAAGCTCAAATCATTCAAGTATCAGAAAAGAGATAACAATAAGAACCTTATTACTCCTGCTCCTCGATCTTCTTTATAAAAAGGAAAATGGGGGTGCATATAGCTGCTCATAGCTAAGAGACAAATGCTAAATAGAAAAGATTGGAAAAAAGAAAAATTCATGTTCCCAAAGCATCATCAATCAATCAATCGTCTCTAGAAGGTAGCTTTTCAGAAACATCAAGATACTTTTTCCGCCAAGAAAAAGAATTTAAAGGGGAAAAGGGAAAAATGTATTATGGTGATGACCAGGAAGGAACTAGCCGTGTAGTTCAGATTTTTTTTTTCCCCAAGCATGAAAGAGAAAATCTAGTTGGGTTCCATGATAGCCAAGCCCCTCAAAATGAAAATTTTACAGAAGGGTGTGGCACTGGTAGTTGGCAGAAAGAATCGACAATCAAAAGTACAGGCCAGGGCCGGGGGAACAATTTCCAACGGGGACCAAAGTACTAATCATCATCATGTTCATTGTAGATGTTACATAATGTATGCTGCTATCTGCGATAGTAAGTAGTATATGAAGTACAGCTACCTCCCAATATCTTTATTACTGTCAGTCCTCATGATTGGCCTTGCAGCCTCTGCCTTGGCATTTCACTGCAAATCCTTCCCACCCTTTCACTGTCTTATTTTGGTAGCTGGCTGGTGCGTCTACCGATGTCACAGGTCAACCCCTTTTGATTCATGTTTGTTTAAGGAATTAAACTCTACCATGCCATGATCCGTCACTAATAAACTGAATCAATTGTTAACATTTTAATTACATATTACCATGAATTTTAACTTTCCAATATTAAGTAGGAAAATACTACCTAAACTGACTGAATCTTAATATGAATCCCTTTTACACACTAAATGGTGTGAAATTTCATCAAATTTCTGGGGTAATTTTGTATTATAAATGGTTAGAACTGTTTAGCCTTGTTCAATAGACTCATTACATGAGTCAAACCCTTGTGTAGAATTTGTAGAATTTGAAAAAACAAAAAAAACAAAAACAAAAACGAAGGTCTCAAGTTAGTGGTAGCATTAATTTTTATGACCTGTGCTACTGACGCCAGCCCTGTGATGATTCTAATAGTCTCAATGATCAAATCTGGATGACAGCTAGCGTGCAACTTCGGTGATCAGCAATCCAGTGCATCTATACTGTTCCTTATCATGGCATGCAACTTGTATTGAATCAAGCATTGCCACTAAGATTATTTGGGTTTGTTTCCATTTTGCAGTACTTAATATTGTATATTGAATCAACGGGTGATTAATGATTTCAATGGACCTGATATATGCCGGCATTAATATGCCTTTTGCAGGCAATTTGCACCACAAGAAATTGGTTCCCATTAAAGCCAAACTTATGATCTCATTCATATCCTCGATTCTCTTTTGACATTCAAATGATGACTTTATTTTTTGATGATTGTATGCTCAAATTCTTGTTTGTGGTGTGCAATTGGTGATTAACAATATATCTTCCATTTGGACTGGTTCGATGATCATGTCATAACTTTTTCAAGGCAACGACAATATTTGAACTAATGCAAATGCATTCAATTTTTGTTATTTTTCTCGTGAAATGATATTTTAGTCGTTTGAAAACTACGAGGATTGCTTTCTTTTTGAATACTTTAAGAAGAAAAAAGAAACGGAAGTTTGACTTTGTCGTGGTCGAAAATGATCAAAATAAAAAACATGACATTGTCTCCGACATATACAGTTCACAGAGATGGATAAATTCATTACAACAGTGGTTATCGTTTGATTTACTCAATGATGATTTTTTATTTTTTCTTTTGTGCACCTTAATATTTATGATCTTATTTCTGTGGCATAATATTTACTTTGCATAAGGTTATAATAGAAGAGAGAAATGTTTATTTATGATTCAAGTTTCTTTTAATATGGATGATATAGAAAACTATGTGCCACCTAAATCAGACAAGGAGGATTCTCCTTGTTGATTGCTTAAAAGATCATGTTTGAGAATGGCATATTGAACACATTTTGAGAAAATCAAATCATGTAGCGTACAATTTAGCAAAGTGTTTAACTAATTCCATTATTGTGTTGTTGTGAATAATTTTTCTGGTTTGTGTATTGCTCCTATATTTCCATTGCCTAATGCATGCCTGATTGGACTTGTGCTCGACCACAGTAAGCTCCTAAATTTTTAGCAAGTTAGAAGATAAGAGCACATGGGACTTTGAAGAGCTAATCTAGAAATGACCCGAGATCTCACCAATCTTGGATGATGAGGTCTTAATGGGCTCTATTTGTTACGCCCAAGAGGAGATATGTGGGATGATGAGATAATTAAGATGTACATTACGTGTTTTTCTTTCTGAAGGGGGTCTAAGAGAATGATCATGCTACTGTAATTAGACTTTTTTGGTGCTGTTGTACTGATTGAAATCAATATAACTCAATTTTTTTTTCAAAGAAGAAAAAGTAGAGAGAATTTGTCATTTGTTGGATTCATTTGATAAATCAGCATTGTCAACAGTTAATTATCAAATTAGATATTTAGTAAATTCAAGATAAAATAAGCAAAATTAATTAGCTATCTTTTGCACATAAAATTAAGCTTACAATTTAATTGGTATTAGAGTGTCTATTGAACTATTCGAGTAACTCATACATTTTTTTGCCAAGAAATTGATCTTTATACCCACTTGTATGTACTTGATTTGACTCGCGTCAAACCTTGATTGCATAAGAATTTTTAAAATTGTGTTGAAACATTACTATATTAATAAATATTTATTTGTAATTTTAAAATATCAAAAAAATAATTTTATATTTTAATAATAAAATATAATTTAAATAGACTAATCACGGGCTTGACTTGATTCATGTGTATCGCTATTTTTTCTTGGTACAAAAGAAAAAACCGAAAATGAAATTAAGAAAGAGAGTGAGAGGAAGTTCAAAGTTCTCACTAATAATTAATGATGTCAATAAAATTATAGAAGTCAACAAAAAAGAAGACAACGTGCAAACGTTCGTATCGTACTAAGTTGTCACAGAAGTGAAGTTCACGTAGCACACGTGTGCTCTTGCAATACAATGTCCTACCAAAAGCACACGTTTAATTTAATTTATGCAGTGTACATGGCATTGTTGTTCACTGAGTACATGGGCCCACGTGAACAATTTAACCTCTATTTTGGACTCACCTAACAAAGTCTTGATCATCTGATCAAACGGATTGTAAGGCAGCTATCATGGGTACTGATTACTGCTTGATTAGTTATGATTACGACATAAACTTGTCATTAAGTTGAATTAGTCCCTTTTCCCCCTACCTTCCATCCCTTGTACACTTATAATTGAGTTTTGATCTCATTTCAGAATTATATAATATATTAGATATATTGTTATGAGGATCACGAATGTGAATTTTAATGATAATTTAATTTGATATTATTTAATAACAAAATAATTTTTAATACCTAGATCTCGATTTGAAGATTTTTCATTATTCAACCTCATACATTGAAATGCTTACTTAGTAGCTAGTGAAGATGCACATGAAAGCAAGCTCTTTAGTCAATTTGTAAGGTTTGGGGGCCGTCTCTAGAGGGAGATAAACCTAGTGGAAAATGTGGTTTCCAGCGTGTAAACCGTTTTTAATTTTGAATGGCTATGGGTATTGGTGAAACACATTATTTTTTGGTACATGTAATACTGAAACACATTATATTTGAAAGCTGACTTGTGTGTAAAATTGACTTCACTTTGTTGTTGAGGATATTTGACTAAGTTCGATTATCCTTGACTTGTGTTTCGCACGCTTGTATTTAATGTCCTAAAATTTGTTATGCTTAACTAGCCTCGAGCCTGCCTACTAATACCAAGAAAGAAGAATAATTTTATAGGAGAGAATTGAAATTCAAATGTTAATTCTCTTTGCCAAAGTATTGGCCATGTCATCAGTAAATCTCAGAGTGTGAACTATACTCCATCTCCCTAATTGCCCTTTGATATTGTTTATTTAGAGAATGGTTCGTAACCTCCATGGGGATGATCGAGGGGATTTCACTCTATTTATTACATTTGTCAAATCACTTTTCATCAAAATATTACCAGTTTTGACTTATTCGAAAGTGGTGAACATTAATAATATTTTTTTCATTGTTAATAATTCAGTTAAATAAATAAAATATATATGAAGAAATTAAATAGAAGAGACGAGAGTAAACGTGTCCAAAATGGTTGTTAATGGAGGGCCAAGGAAAAAAAAAACGGTAATGGGATACAAAAAATTGGTGCTTAAGATACAAAACCAAACAAAATCAGTTGATGGATGGTTTCTCTTTGTGATTTCCCTACGCTCATTTCCACTCAAAGCTTATAATTTTGCCTTGCTAAGCAATCCTAAAGCCAAAAGTAGCATAGTAGATGCTCCAAGTCCCATAAGGGCAGCCGTTTCTCTTGGACACGAAGAATGACTATAGTGAACTTTAATGGAGAGTACTGCCAAAGACTGTCCAATAAATTAATAATGGGAAAATGAGATTAAGCCCTGAAGTCTCCTAGAAAGAGAGGTTACCAAGTTGGAGAAAATTGTTCAAGAGATGTGAAGTTCTGTTTGCGTGAGACTGTAACCGGAGAGAGCGTTAGTCAGTCTCTCTTTGCCAAACTCACTCCTCTCTTTGTTTCTTCTAGTTAGAGAGAAAATGTATGCAAATATGGCTGGTCGAAGAGAGAATGGAGTAATGTAGCTAGTAGACATCCGTATATAGAGTAAGATATCTCTCCCTTTCTCTCTTATTACATTGGCTATCCAATAATGCACAATACAAGTAAAATCATTAATAAATGCTTGATATACTTCAAGTGTCAAAATTTTCAAAATCAAATTAATAAAACAAAAAAAGAATTTACTTTTCATTTTATTGAATTTTATTCGTAACGCATATGTTATTATCTCTTCCTTTTAATGGAAAAAAAAAACGTGATTAATCTTACGTAGATGCATTTTCATTTCATTTTCTATGGATATATAATGTTGCATTCCCTTTTTTCTACTTCTGATTCCATCTACAATTTGCTTACAGATTTCTTGAAAGTTTATTTTTGTATATTGTGGTATGGGCTATATCACTTGTCCCTCTCTCTTTATCCAGTGTAGGTAGCTTATATGTTTGTGCTTTAGAGATAGGAAAAATTCTAGATAATCACTTTTCTTTTGTTTTTCTTCTCTTTCTGGTTTATACTTGACCGAAATGACAGTGGAAATCGGTGAGTGTCAGTTAAAGATCAGTTTCCCTCTCAAATTACTGTCGTTTTGCATGTATGACCAGCGAAGAATTGGTTTCGCATGCTTCAATTTATAAAGGTTTTGGGCCTTTAGGAGAGTTTTTCACCCTGCCCTCATGCAGCATTGGTGAAGCAGAGTGAGAGAGAGCCCCGCGTTGATGCCTTGCCCACACTTTTCTCCCACTATCCCTAATATTTCTCAGAAAAATATACTAGCTATTAATGTGATATTTATTAAAAAAATTATAAACTAAGAGTTAATATATTATTTTTCTCAAATTTGATGATAATATAACATATTAAATTTTTTTAAAAAAATCCTTTTGAATATTCTTTATATCCATGATTTGATTTTGACACATTTAAACGAGTGAATCTTCTTGTACTAAAAAAGAAAAAAAATCAGTGAATCTTCATCATTGCGCAATTATTGTCATGGATTGCTTGCTATAGAGAATGATGAAAGATGAACAAAGTCAACTAGAGAAACGGTGGAGATAGAATGGAATGCATGTGAAAAAAAGGGTGTTGAGTGCTTATGCCATTCTCTTGTTAAAAAGCACTGCTCTTTATTGTAGACAATTTTCAGTTGGTCCTTTTCCTACTGAGCCCTTATAACCTTCAATTATGGCATTAATCACTTTTTTCAAAATTCGTATATATTAAGGCTTGGATTTTTTCTAGGCCAATTAAAGTTAATTTTAGTAATTATTGATCAATATTTTTCTAACGAAAAATCAGCTTCTATTATTTTCTAACCAAAAAAGCTTTTTTTCCCTTAATTTTCCCCTTGCAGGTTAAGAGAGCCATTTCAATCGCTTGACCAAGTCTGTTTATATATTTACCATACTCAATCAGCTAGCTCGCTGGGGTTCGAATGAAGCAGAAGCTTTCCTTCTTTCATTATTGTTAGTAAAGCATGGGATTCTCAAAGGAAGATGGGTTGCTTTCAAAAACTATATCCATGGTTTTATCCCTCTGTAGTATCATTTCCGGGTCATTTAGGTTTCAATCTCCCATGCAAATCCAAAAAGAAGGCACCGCTTATAAACATCTCCTGCTACCAGGTCTCAAAACCCTAATATATGCACCAGGAACCCCCCCAACTCAAAGTCCAACTCACTCAAATCCTCTCATCATCCATTCCTACACAATCCCACAGGCAGTGCATTCTTTCCAATCCTTGTTCCGATCCTTAAGCACTCACTCTTCATCATACTCTTCTTGGTCCTCTGGGATGGACGATATGCTTGGGACTGAAAGTGGAGTTTACATGAGCCCTGACGAATTGCAAATGCCAGAGATGGAGAGAGCAAATGGGAATCGTGATTACAACCCGAATAAGAGAAAGCAAGGGCTTGCAATGAAAGGAGAATATCCGCCTGCGATTCCTTTGCTAGCAAGAACAGGGAATTTGCCAGGTCACATGCCATGGATTTTAAGGAGACATTACAGTAATGGGAGGCTCATTCTTAAAGAAGAGAAAGTGAAGCATCATGAATATTTTGAAGCATACAGAGAAAATGGTCGGCTTATTCTCGAGCTTGTGTCTTTAGATGATACTTTTACAAGTTTTCAGGCGGTTTATGACGAAAAAGATGAGGAAGTAGAGCTAGAAAACGCTGAATTTTTCGAAGGAGAGGAATTAGAGAAGGTCAAAGAATATGATGACGAAGAACCAGAAGCTGATGGTGATGATGAAGATAATGGCTCCGTGTACGTACCAAGGTTCAATAACGATCTCATCAGTTTTTCAGTGCCTGAATTGTATCATGGGAATGAAAGATATGGAGATCCACGCAAGTGCTTGACGTATTCGGGTAGGTTTATATCCGAATTGAGTTCAATATTTTGCTCTGCTGGTGAGCAAGAAGGCAGTTCAGTTCCTTTGGTATTCTGCAACACTATGGCTCCCATAACTACTAGTACTACTGCATGTGATGTAGCTTGTTTGGTTAAGTAGATTAAATTCTGGCTGTCAAGAGATAGAAGCTATCAAGCTAGTGTAACTCGACCGTCCTTTTAGTTTGTTCAGTTCAATGTTGATTACTTCTTAAGAAGCAGCACAAATATGGTTTTGTATAATAACGTAACTTCATAAGAACCTTATTTTTTATTTTAATATTCGGGTCTGAACCTTTTGTGGATTATGTGTAAGAGAATTAGAAACAGTTGACCATTATTTTTCAGATGTGAGGCTACTTGGAAATTGTTGGCTGCTTGGTGCAACACGTGGGGATTAGTTCGGTGAGCACAGGTGAAGTTGGTGCCTTCTTTTCCGCGTGGAATGCAACTCATGTCGATAAAGGAATGCTTGTGTAGAGAATGGGTTATTTTGCAATTTTTTGGTCTGTCTTGTTACAGAGAAATGAGATGACTTTTAATGGAAAGTTGTGGGACAGCTGCCAAATTTTTGAACAGCTCCCAAACAAGCTCAGCAGACCACATTTTTCTAAAAAATCTTTGACAAGGATTACTGTTGAATGGAAAGCTCCCGATCAGGGTCAACTCAAGTTTAATATTGATGGAGCTGGTAAGGGAAATCCTGGAGAGTCCGGCATCATCGGAGTTCTTAGAGACAGCCATGTCAGAGTTCTTATCACCTTTGCCAAAGCCACGGGTGTGGGAGATGCAAATAGAGCCGAACTCTTAGCTATTAAAGAAGCACTTCTCATTTATGTCGTCTCCAATTGGCTAGATTCTCATCAGCTTGTATTAGAGAGTGATTTTGTTAATGCTATGAAATGGGTTAAATGTCCCGAAACAGCGCCATGGAGGCACATGAAACATATTCTTCATATCATCAAACTGACAGGTAAACTAATTAAAGGAATGGCTTATCTTTCATATTCTCAGGTCCGCTAACAGTGTTGTGGTCTCACATGCTAAGGCAGGGGTGGGGAGAGAAACTGATATGCTTATGATTAACTAGAGATCTGGAAATTTGTTGATCTTCGAACTGGTCTTGATTCATGGTTATCGTTATTGCATTTTTGATTCCCAATGTTCAAGGCGGAGCTAATCAATTTTTATTGAAGGAATCAATGATGAAAATAAATAAAAATTAAAATTTTTTAAAATTAATATATTAAATTTAATTAATAATTTTTTCAAGATTGAACTGGGATGACTTGATAGCCTAATTGTAAGAAAATTATTTAGATGATTTATATCTTTTTCTTTTAAAAAATTTATCAATTATTTTCATTTTACTCATATTTAATCAAATCTAAAAAATTAATGCAGTCCATATTTATTTTTAAATTTTTAATTAAATTTAAAATACTAAATATAAAAATGCAATGCATAAAGTATAAAATGTTAAATATGATATATAGAATTTCATAGAATTATTAAATATATAAATAATTAAATAATATAAATAAAAAAAACTTTACTTTTTCTTAATTTCATACAATTGTGGTGAGTAGTCACATTTTTCTTTATCTAAACTCACAAGTCTATGAATCTCTTTTAAAGAATAAAGTATATTTCAATATTGAGTTACATAAAAAAGAATACAATAACAATAAAAAACCAAAAGAGAATAAAAAAAAAAAGAAAAAGAAAGAGGTGGAGAGAAATTTAAAAATTAAGATAAAGCTGAACATTAAGATCAATTTATTATTTTATATATATTAATTATTAAATAAAAAATATTTTAAAGAGATCATTAAAAGATATATATAATAAATAAGAAATTTTAAAATCATGGCCCCCCGAAAGATGCATGAACCTCCACCCCTGCCAATGTTCTTCCTCCTCTGGTGCATTTAAGGTGGTGGGGAATCTCTTTGCTTTGATGTTTGTCATGGAGTGATGTTGAGTTGATTCATGCTGGCCTGCGTTGTCTCTTTTTTTGGTGGTTGAAAGGACTTGAAGTCAAAGTTTCCTCTTGTGGTTGTTGCGGTTTTCAGAGGGGTTGAGTTGTGATTTATTCCAGGGTTGGAATGGCTGCTGTGCTTTTGTTGAGGCCGTGATGCTCCCTTGATTGGCTCTTCCTTCGACTTATTTTTGTCTCACCTCTGTTGCTTTGATCGTTATGTGTTTCTAGGTTGGGTTGTGAGGTTGATTTTTTGAGTTGTTGATTTCATGTGTCGTGGTGATCGTGGTTTGTTTATTGTTCAGATCTTATTTGCGGTGGGTTCTTGTCTTATGACTGGACCCTGGTCTTTTTGTTTTTTCTGGGGTTGTATTTGCTATTGATTATCTACACCCTTCCTTAGTGGAGACTTTTCACAGCATTTTGTACTCCTCTCGTATTAATTCAATATAAAAAAGGGTTTGAATTTTTTTAAAATTAAAGAAAAAAAAAGAGTAATGCTGTTAAATGAAAATATTAAATAATTATATTGGAATTGGAATTGAAATGGAGGCACATTTGAGAACAAAGTGAGGGATGCAGTTAGCTAGGTGGATAATATAAATTTAACCAACATAAGGCGAAGAGGGAAAAAATTGAAATGCATATCTATTAATGGGCTTGTGCATGACCCGTCAACAAAAATTACGCCTTCATTGGCAAAACTAGGCTTGGCCTGATGAGCCCAAGAAATTTAAATGGGCCGAATCAGAGAAACCTCGTATCACGGGGGCAAAAAAACAAGCAAAACAACGACCAGGTTCCACTTTCCACGTATTTACTCAAAACTTGTTTGGTTAATTTTTTTTAATTTTAAAAAGTTTTTATGAAAAATAATAATTTTTAAAATTAAATTAAATTTATTTAATAAATTTAATTTTATAATTTTTTGTAAATAAGTTATTTCTTATATAAATTGGTATAATTTTATATGAATCATAAATTTTTTTGTTCACAACAAAAAAAGTTTATTTTATTAAAATAAACTTTTTCAAATATACAAAGCATTTTTATATAAAAAAATAGATACAGATAATGTTATGATTATTTTTAATAAATAAGGACACTCTTGAAAAAAAAATTATCCTAAAAAGCTATTAGTGTTTTTAAAAAAAAGAGAAGAAAAGTTTTGCAAAGCAATTTCTTAAATTTTTTTTTTAAATTTTGTTTTAAAAAAATTATTTTTTTAAAAAGTTTCTTAAAAGGTAGATAAATTGAAAAAAATTATATCAAACATGCATTTAACTTTTGCATTCAAGCAGATAGTTTATTAGTTGAAGCATGATTTTCATGTTTAAAAAATAAAATTCAAATCTCCCAAACTTGGCCAAGTGTCATTAGACAACCATGCACTTTCTTTATCAAATTTTCTGGTTCTTTTTTCCGTCAAGCAACCAAACTCGAACTGCCAAAGAAAACCATTGCAAACAGAGTCAGATAAATTGTTTTTGGTTGGACAGATGGCTTCAGTAGGTAATTTGGACCTTTGTTGGGTGACATTCCTTTCAATTTGTGGACGTTTGAGTTATAGCAATTTAAAGGAGAGCAATCGGACATCAGTATCCTCTTGATCAGGATATGAGCATTTAGTGATTTCGTGAGTACTAGTTAAGATGTCAATCTGCACCCTCATTTTAATGCAGTTGCGTAATGCATATTGTGATAAACTTCACAAAAATAATTAATAAAAGAAAAGAAAATAGCACAGTTTGCTGCTTAGCTGCCAATTGATTAGGAGTCTTTCTTGTCCCTTATTTTATGGTTGCAATTCCTGCAGGTCCAGCACGTACTCTGCTCATCAATACATATCCTATGCCTGCTGCAGATCTTTAATTGCGCTTCTTTTATGATAATAACATTAAATAATTAAGATTCAAAATCAACAAAATTATTGATGTAGTCATCTCTTCTGCTAGAAAGTTTCCACTCTAAAGATATCAGCAAACCAGAAGGAAAGGTCAAAACAAATGAAAGGTTTAAATCTTATATATATAATAAATCAACTTCTGCACTTTTTACCTTGTGTTTCATAAAAGGGAAAAGGGAAAGGAAAAGGAAGTAGTAGATGTATGGGTTTGGCTTCTAAACTCTTAGAAGGAAATGGAAATCAGAATGGGAATATTCGTTCATAAAACCATAGAAGCTAAGTATGTCCAATTATTCAAAGTTAAATATACTAAACCCTCTAAATCTTATCACAAAGCATATCTTTTCCAGGGAATTCTTAAAATGCTTCATGATGAAAGATTTACATTATATTAGCAACAGCCACCTGCACGTTAAAGGAAAGGACAAAAACTGGGGCACTTAGAAATGATTTTGTAATTCTGAAGCATCAACTTTTTGTCATATTATTCATTTTCCGGAGACTTTTGCAGCTCCTGATAACGTTAGCATTTGTTCTTCTGGTTTCTAAATGACTTCATCTTTAGTGCGGAATTGCTGTCATATCAGTTCAAAGTGGAGCTCTATCAATTATTGCTAGTGGATTGCCAATCTGAAAAGACTCGGCACTTCAGAAATCAGACAGTTGAAGCTATTTGAGTCAACTTCTGTCTTGGGAAAACTTTAATTTCCTCGTTGGAACATGGGTGCTGATACAAAAATAATAAACACCTCTTTAACAGTGGTAAAATCTTTTACAGGGTGGTGGTTGTTTACTATGTTAAAGAGGAAGAACTAGGTGCTACATTCATTGGTGGAAAAACAAAGAAGAAATATCAGGTTATTAATCTTTTGGCAAATGCTGAAATTTTATTCAGAAGCTGATATATAATTTCTGTTGTACCAAGCAGTAGAAAATAGAGTCATGAAAGATTTTTCGTTGAATCAAGTAATAGAAGCATGTTCCCTTCGATTAGAGCCAACTGATATCAAGGATACAGCTGAAGATCTGAACAGCTTGGCACCAACTCGATTGCAAGACCACAGTATTCCTTGAGAAGAAAAAGAACGGTCTTACAGATGTCCAGTATTATAAGCATTCACATTCTCAAAAGGATGTGGCATGTAAAAGAAGATTGTGATCTGACTATATTCTTTCAAATGTAACCTTCAAGGGTGTTGGCGGTTTAAGAGAACAAAAACTTCTGCAAGCAAATATACATGGATGGTATCCATGATTGGCAAGGGAAAGCTTCCATGAAGCTTCCAAAAACTTAACCAACGAGGACAAGGGTTCTTTAAGGGGGATGAAATGCTATGTACGGAGGGGCTAATCCATTATCATAGTTGCATTTTTGGTTTAGAAACCTTAGTTATTTATCTTAACTTATTCTTTAATCTTGGTACATATCAATCTACAACTTACTTTCCCCTAATTTCAGCCAAGATCATGGATCATGTGCAATTCTTTTCATAGTTTGTAGATGAAAGACAAGAATCCACTTCTAGTTTCTAGCCAGGCTATATGTATTTATTAATTGTTTTTTCTTTGGGGGTGTTGAATTTTTTGTATAAAGGCTAAAGCAAGAATCTAAGTCATATTCTGTCGGTTATGCTAGGGAAACATTATTATTATAAGTATATTCTCTTGAATTTCATAGTTCCACTGAGTCTTCCTTTTCTTTTAGTGGTGGACCTCCCTCCTCTGCAGCTACCAAATGTAAAACAGTGTCTCACGTATTTATCTCATAATCTGGGTGATTTTATAACCATTTTATACAGAATTTCGGATTGCAGTGTGTTTTTTGCTGCTTATTTGCCAGCTGTTGATGGCTTGTGTGGTCATAAACTAACTTGTTTGATAATGAAGAGTTATACTAATTTGGTTGAAGCTTGAATTCCTAGTGAAACTTCCAAAATATTGAAAAGTAACAAGTAAAAACACATGGTGGTGGGGACAACAATGAGTCAGTTTAGGAAGTGGCCATTTCGGATTCTCAGCTTTTATGGAACTCTTTTAACAATTGCAAGAATTTGCTTGCAGAAGATGTAACATATCATTGAAAAATGGGGTGGTGGAATATAAACCAAAATAGAAGATAGAGGATTTGACATTTAACTTCTTCCCTTCGAAATTGACTGCAATTTCATTAGTTGTCCTTGTTGCTGGGGTGGGGAGGATTGCTATCTTGCCAGGAATTTCTGATTAGTCAGCCTTTGGCTGGGAAATTCGGCATCCTGAGTCAGATGTAGTTAGTTCTGATGTAACCTAAGTAGTAGTTTATTTAGAAATAATTTGAATGAATGTTGATTGCCTTAGGGCTAAGATTTAGGCCGCTTTCAGCTCTGTCATTTCATCTGTCATTGACAGATTCAAGCTGAATTGGTTACAATTTGGACGGCATGATTTGGTCTTGCTAGCTGGCCTCGGAAATTTTCATTGTTATTCATCTTATTGTCAATATACTCGGTTGTTGGCTTTCCCTAACTTTGATCCTCACAGTGATGTGGGGTTTGTGGGCGTGGCCGCCATTCCAAACTGCTCCAAAAGAATCTGAGCCTAGCATCACCACAAGTCTTGTCTACAGTAAATTAATATTGAATAAACATCAAATGGTGTTAGATTCTTCATTATGCAACCTATAAATTTATCTTAATGATAATGATTCTGCATTCTTACATTATTAGTTTAACCTTCTGTTTTTGGAGTATGATTCTGTTCACCTGGAAGAATCAAATATAGAGTTTTTAATCTTGGCCATCAATTGCTGCGTAATTTACTTGAAAGCATTGTCATGGTGTGGGCCTTAAAATCAGGCAACCTATGTTTTCTCTGTCCACTGTTGGTGGTCCTGGCAGGCCGGTCAGATGAGGCTTGCTCATAAATAATTGCTAATTGTTCTTGTGTCACCATCACAAGGAGCCAGTTTCTTCAATATGATAAAAACAGTTCTTCCAATAATGATACTTCTAATGTCCCCATTATTTTGTTTGAATAGGTGGAAATTTCTTGATAATTCTCACTTTTCACATTGGTGGGAAGTTACTGCAAAAAGATCAGACTTTGGCATTATTTAAGATGATAAAGAAAAAGAGATGAACAAGAAGAAAATATTTCCTCTCTTTTTGAAGAAAGTGGTGCTAGTGTGGTTTGTCAGTGCCCAACTTGCACATTCAGAACTCAGAAAGGACCAATTATCTAATTAGACTTCACTAATAATGTGATAAAAACGTGATTTCCACTCAGCACCATATGCCCCCTCAATCTTCCAACTTGCCTAAGCTGTTGGGTCAACTTCTTAAAGTGAACTCAAGAACTTTCACATCTCCTTCCATTTTTCTGAGAATTTTCACTGTTCAATTTTCTGCTGTGGCCATGTTTCCAAAATGCCCTTCCCCAAGTCTGAGTTTTTGCATGTCTTGAACATGTTACATGGAATTGACTAAGTTCAAATTCCTCAAAGTTGCATGTCAAGAAATTGTATGACCCAGTTTTATCCACAAGTTGATCTTAGTCATATATTCATTTGATGGGTTAGTATGTGGGGTTATTTTAGTAATTAGACTGAAAATGTACGGGTGACAATGTAAAAGGTGTCACTTTCTATATCATTGGATTTTCTGTTAGATTCAGGTTAAAAATCTCAGTTGGAAAGATCCTGTTTGGGTGGTTTCATTCTTCTCTTTCTCCATCAAGTTGCAAAGGTTTCTCTCTCTTCATTATCTGAACTGTTTATCCCAAATTTCTGATCAGTCCCAGCTCTTAGATTTCAAGCCTCTAGAAATACCCTTCTTTTTATGGAGTTTGAGGTCTCCTCATTGTTCAAGTGATTACTTTTTGCGGTGAATTTTGCAAAAAGATTATCTTAGGTTGGTGGTTTTCCTTTACAAGAAGCAAACTTTGAGTTCTTTGTTGAACTTCTTCTGCACAGAAAAAGAAAGGCTTTATAGTGAACAGTTCCTTCAATCTGATTGAGAGGGAAAAAAAGACTGGTCTTTTAGAGATTAGCATGAGAGTTTGAGGTGAATTCCTTTGTGGGAGATTTCATCTATGGCTGGAGAAGATTTAGTAGAGCTCAAATTCAGGCTTGCAGATGGAAGTGACATTGGTCCAAGCAAGTATAGTCCAGCTACAACTGTGGCATCCCTCAAAGAGAAAATACTTGCACAGTGGCCTAGAGGTTACTCAAACTTTACCATTTTTACCTTTATAATTGTATGCATCATGAATTTTGTGCTTTTAGTCTTTTGCTGATTAGTCTATCTTGTAGGCAAGGCGTCTTTGTCTTGTTATTCATTGATTCAAAAATGAAAATCATTCTGTATCAAGAGTGAAGGTGCTGTATGCTTGCAAATTGGTTGACTCTGTTACGAGTCCTTTGTTCTACTCTTTCCCTACTCGCTTGATTTAACTTTTGCTACTTTTCTTCTTAGGTGGCAAATTTGGGTGATTGGTTATTTTTTCTTTACCCTTTCATAATGTTGGATCCAATGCTACAGGAAGTCAAAGATGAGTTTAGATCAATAACATACAGATTTCTTGAATTATATAGGGTCAATGATTTATTTTGTTGGATTCCTACTTGTTAACAATAGAGAAAGGCAGTGTAAGAAGTTGTCAGATGCATTGTTGTTCCTATTTTTCACTGCTAATTTAGGCTGACAGGTGAAAACATAACACCCACTCTGCCATTCTAGAATGCCTATGGTTACACATATAGCATCGTGTAATCTGAATTTCAATTTAGATGACGGGACGAAGTTAAGTTACTTGTATGAGCAATATACTGATTTCCACTTGTCTCTTGTCATATATTTTTCTTCAGTGCCCTTTGTTTTTAGTACATTGAGGTCGTATATTGCTTTTAATCCTCCCTTATTGTGCCTTGTATCTGAATACTTGTTTTGTTATTACAACATTGTGTTTTGGTATGTAATTAGCTCATGTTTTCACCTGCAATTCTCTTCTCTGTTTCACAGACAAAGAAAATTGCCCGAAGACAATACAGGATGTGAAGCTAATTAATGCTGGAAAGATTCTTGAAAACAACAGGACACTTGCTGAGTCCAGACTCCTGGTTGGTGAGCTTCCAGGAGGTGTAATCACAATGCATGTCGTTCTGCGTCTTCCTTTGTCAGACAAAAACAATGGTAATCCAGAGGACAAGTATTTGATTCATTGCATGTGGAAGAGAATTGTGGGCTATGGTACATCTATGCCTTTTTTAGCCACTGAAATTCGTTTATACCACGGGCTTTTCTGATTCCATCAAGTGTGAATGGTTCTTATGGAGCATTTGATTTCAAATGACATTTTTTTGCACTTCTTCTGGTATTTACTAACCATCTTCACATTATCATGTCTGTGTCTGTGTGTGTTTAGTACTACATTAACCTGTACTATGTACTTTATTTCATGTACTAACTCTTGTCGATCAGCATGCTGTATCCCTACTTGAATACTAACACTCAAGACATTTTATCCACAGACAAACAACAGAATGATTCTCCAAAGAAAAGCAGCTGTGCATGCACAATCTTGTAGCTGTCTAATGAGATTGCTGATGCTTGTTCTACTGATGCCGGCCCCTTCAAATGCATTCCTGTTACAGCTGTTGAGATGCAATTCTTCAACATTACTTGTTTCGGGATTACAAATGATGGTGACAGCTGAAACATTAAAAAAAAACAAAAGGTTGTGTGGTTTGCTTTACTGGAAAACCTAGCATTTCCATTATTGCTTGTGAAAGAAAGGGGTGTTGAATTTGAAGCTTAGTTGATGATAGACCCAAAAAAGATTCAAAAATGAAATTTATAGGAAAAATTATTGATTTTGTTAATTTTAGTTAGACTGCTCTTGAAAATGTAATTCTTTTGTGTCACCTGCATACCTGATGACCCCATGTTTGATCGTTTACAATTATCTTTTTCATCAAGATGGTGAGCGGCCTTAGATTGAGGACAATGGTTTATATCCTTTCTCCTTGTTTCGTTCTCTTATTTTTAGCCATGAAGCATAACTAAAATTCAATGCTTATCCATGGCCAAGTAAAGAACGTTAAGAGCAGGACCAGAACCATTACCAGAAATGAGTGCAAGCACTCAATTAGCAGAGTGGCAAATTCTTACTGGATTCTTCATTTTGAGATGATGATGTTAGCATTTTCCATTTTTATTTATACTTACTGGAAAAGATATTCAATCTTTAACCATTGGATTGAATGGAACTCGCTTCCTAAGGCTAACATTGAGCACCCTCAAGTGAAAACAAGGTTCATCCAAATCAGCAAAAGAAGAGACAAAGGCAAGCGAGATGGGGGTGCAAAATGAAAACACAAGGTAAAGCAGGTAATCAACAAACTACAGCCAGAAGTAGTGGTAGTGCAGAAAAATGAAAGCAAAGAGAAAGGGAGAGATGAGGTGAACAAGGGATGAATCGTTGTTTGTAGTAATGAAATAAAAATGATTCTGTCAATCAAAGAATTTGATTCACTATACAATAGAAGAATTACATCACTAGGACCGGGGGAAAAAGGTCCAAGTGTTACATCTATCTATACCTTATGATACTAGTTTCCTGTGACAAAGACCGGGCAATATATATTTATTTACATGAAATACAGCTGCTTTGCTTTTTGACAGTGTACCAAGCTTGAAGAACTTGAACTCTGCAATAGCCTGCGAATTCACAAGAAATTTGATAATTTAATGACAAGGAGCTGTCATTAACTTTAACCCTGTGAAGTGGTCATTTCTGGGACATGGCAAACAGGAAATCCAGAGCCGAGATTGTTCTTATGGCTTACGAATGGTCCCCAAGAGCAGCCGATGAGGAGCGATTCAAGTTTTGGGCCCTCCTGGATGCCCGCATATTCTTGAGTGTCATCATGAGTTTCTGCCTCTCTCCTTCAACCTCTGCAAATTGAAGGCTTAGCTGAGAGTATCGCTCATGCATCTCTTTTAGTTCAGTCTCTACAGCTCCATATCTTTCCTTTATCTCCAACATGTCTTTGATTAGCTCATTGATGTCCCTAAAACTTTTGAACACTGCTTCCTCATCATTGTGCTGTTTCAAGAAAGAGCTGGACCACAAGAGAAAGTTATGTCAAATTTCTTTGATGTTCCATTTGCTGGGCTAGAGTTTAAACTACCTTGTCTTAATGTCCCAACCCCAAACTGCAATTTATAATAAAATTAAGATTTTCTGGCCAAACTTGCTGGACATATCATGTGTCAATGAGGCTCAGAAAGGGAGACACGAAATCAGTAAAGGGAAGTCCAGGGAAAAGCACAAGTAATAGATGTGAACAGTAGGGAAAGAGGGTTGATAATTTTGCAAGGATTCCACCTATCAGAAGTTATACCAAGTGATGCCTATGAGAATTTCCCAGTCAATGTTTCTTTCAGCTCATTGGATACATCATACATGACTGGCAATGGTTTTTAAAATTTTTTAAAGGGGAAAGATCAAGCAAATTAAATGCATATCTAGATGCATACTGTGAATGGTATAAAAGGAATAACTGGAGACCAGTAATCTGTTTGATTGCTACACCCGAATTACTGGTACACCAGATACCAGGCCACCAAAATGGTTGCTTCAGTCATCATTGTGACCAAATAAATCTTGGCCAAAGCCAGAATCTGTTAACGAAAAATGAGTCACAGTACACACACACACACACACACGAGAGTGTACCATAATTGCCACACCAGACTCGCAAGACCCATGCTCTGTTAGTGTAGTGTAGTAACTTAGTGATCAGTGCATGTTACAGCCAACAATTTCAGCACACAAATAACAGACATTTGAGAATATGACTACAGACGAGTTGGAGGAAATAATTAACTTATAGTTAGCTTACAAAGGTTGCAGACAGCAACAAAGATACAACACCTGCTAATCCTGGTATAAATAGAACTCATACAAAGTAGATGTAGATCATCATAGAGTGTGCACGTAACAAATTATTTCATGCAAGCCAGTTATCTTAGTTTGAAAGTAGGTTGACAAAGAGATGCACAAGTCACAGAACAAAATTTAAGGGAGGGTTATGAATTTCCACTTATTCTTGTAAATCTCATATATGCACACAACAATCTAGTCCCTAGGTATTTAATATGCACCATGTTTAGAACTTTAAACATGGAAGACACAGCAAATTTCTTGAAGTAACCTTCAAGGTCAAAGCTATACAAGCCCCTTAGGCCAAAGCAAATTGCTTATTAATCACAAGCTTCTGACAAGTGAGAGACTTAATCAAATGATTTTGTCAATAAGTTAGAAAAGGAATCAGAAAAGCAGACTAATGTTTTTTTCTAGAACATAACATACCTCTGAAAAAGGATGCTCGATTTCTTCTTAGTTTCCAATGCCTCGGCAAGCTCAAGTTCCAATGCAAGTACCCTTTCTAACGCATTTCCACTTTCTGGATATTCATTAAACAAAGGGAACATGCTTCCCAATTCTTCATTCACCTGTGCAAAGGCCAAAACTGAGAGCCTGGTTGAATGGCTTTTATCAAAACCTTATGGAAGTAAAGAGGTCCATATGATTCACCTTATGTAACTGCATCAATTCTCGCTGTAAACCTGGAAATTTAGAGTCGAAATGATGACCATCTTCTGAAAGAAGCAGATTTTCATTTTTCATCCTTTCCAGCTACAAGCACCAAAAAAAAAAAGTATATTAATCACCATTATATTGAGCATTATCCTAAAAAAATTTTGTCCCAACTGCAGAAAAGCTAACAGGTGACTGAAGATTAATATATAACATTCCCTCATGCTCAACAATATAAGAAATTGTAAATGACTTCTAGTCGGATTCTCACTAACTTGCACCTTACAGGCTTACACAATATACATACCTCACTGTTTAGGTGGTCCATGCTAGATCTTAAACTTTGGGCTTTAAAACGATCATTGATTAAAGCTAGATGTTTTGCATCACAATTCAGCAAGTTCTCTGGGTTGACAAGTGCAAGACTTTGAACTCCATTTACTTTGCTCGATGCAAGAAAGTCCTGATAAACAATTAAGCAAATCATCATTACAAAGAAATTTCACTATGTAAATTGAAAGGTTGCACACAGCAGACAAAGTATAAATGAAAGTATATTAACATGTTCTTCAAAGATAATTTTTGTCTAAGATTCTTGCTAAAGAAAATAGGGTAAATTTGAAATAAACTTTTTTACCAGTTAGCATAAATTAAGTACTTAGCAGTCCAGCACAAAAATGCAAGATAGCTCATCCAAAGAACTAAAAAGACCTTAAGATCAGCACTTCACGCAGAAGATGCCAAGCAACAGGCAAGAACTAGAATACCAGAGAGATAGCATTAAAACCACCACTGATTAAAGTTAGATTATGTCATAGCTTATATACCTGTTTGATTATGACCAATAAATTTTTCTCTAAGATTATGCTTTGAAAATCTTTTACCATGAAGCTAAAAGAACTTGAATGGAAGGCTAAGGGCTGTTATTAAAGGGCATTAAGTGAAGTCTACTTCTCAGCATGTTACAGTAAGTTGATAATCAACATACTAAATTCTCTAAAATTATACCATTAAGTCTAAGATAATGCAAAGCAGATATATGCAACACAACAGAATCATTTGCTGAAATGAAAATTTAAGTATTATAATTCACTCACAAACAGTGAATTAGTAATTGAACAAAACAATAGTTAGAAGAAGATATTCCAAGCAAAACGTTAAAGCTTACCTGCTCAGGTTGCATATTTCTGAGTGCCCTTGTACAGTCACCTTCATCAATGAGAAGTAAGCACGCCTGTTCTGCTTCTTCAGTGTTTGTTGAAGTATCTTGTTCCGAATATTTAAGATCAACATTGCTAGTTGGAGCATTATTGACAACCAGCTCATCAGAGATGCAACCATCTTTCAGTTTGTCATTTCTTTCCTTCTGAACACTCATGATTGATGTGGAGGTCTCGAGCAATTCTTTCACTATGCTAAGTTCAACTACAATTCTAGATTTTTCCTCATTGCATTCTTGTAAAGAAGCTTCAAGTTTCTGTTTTTCTTCTTTACAGCATTCAAGGCTAATCATTGAGCAATCCAGCTCAGCCTTCATCAGGTCATAAGCCCTCATTTTTTCACGCTTGTCAGAAATCAACGATTGTAACTCAGCCTCCAATTCCAAGATCTTCACTCCAAGCTCTTCATTTGTCTTCAAAAGAGAAGCTTCAGATTTCTTTCTATTCTCAATGTCATCAATGGCGTCCTGTAATTTCCATAGCATTTCCTCGCTATGCTTCTTGGAGACAGCCAACTGGTGCTTCAGTTCTTGTAGCCGTGTTTCATACTGTTCTTTGATAAATGCAATTCTTAAGGACTCTTGCATGGCAGTTGGTGGTGCTTCAGATTCCCTTTTCTCCCGAGCCTGAATGCATTCTGCATCAGCCTTGTCTTTAAGCTCCTTCAAATGAATGGACAAGTTTTTGAACTCTTCAGTCTTCAAAATCTGCTCAGAAAGCCTTTGAGAAAGCTCATTACACTGATTCTGCAGCAACAGCACCTCATCATTCTGCCCTTCTAGTAAGGTTAACTGAGAGCTCTGTTCGTCCAATTTAGCTTTGAGTATTACGACATTGAGTTCCAGTTCTTCCTTCAATACCATCAGATTATCAATCTCTTCCCGAGAACTGACCAGTGACTGCTTCAGCCTTTCGACTTCAAGAGCATACTGTTTTTTATCCTCACAATAACCGAACTCAAGTTTTTCAATCCAACTTTTGTATTCCTGAAGGTCAGCTATTACAGAGCTATTTTTATTGAGAAGTACCCTGTTTTCAGCCATTGAAGCATCTAACTCGGATTTTAGGGAGTCAAGACTCGCTGATAATCTTGCATTTT